CTTTATATTTTTGAGGTTTATTTTGATTGTCTTGCTGTTTTTGTCTACATTCAGAAATACTATGTCCGTATCGTCGGCAATAATTACACCATTTTTTGAAAGATGGTTTGCCTTTAAAGTTTGGGTGTTTTTCGTAAATATTGAGTATTTCAGTGATTTTTTCAACGAGGTCTGTATCTGATTCCTGTATATTGTTTATATTTGTGGAAGCTGTTTCAATTCTGTTAACGTATTGTAATTTCAGATTTTCCGTTTCTTCGAGTTTCATTGTGATTTCTGCTTGTTCTAGTTTGTCTACTAGTTTTCGAAAATCTAAATCGGGTTCTCGAATTGACGAAGGATGGGATGCTCTCTTTTTTATTGCTATTTTCCTTAATTGTGGTGTTAAGTTCATCATTAAGATTTCTGTCATCTTTGTGTTTTTATAGTCATGTGTATTTAATGAATATGCTTTTCGAACTAGTGTTTCGATTCGTACTGCTAATTGCTTGATGGTTTCGTTTGGTAATCTGCGAATTTCATTACATAAAACTCTTTGTTGTTGTTTGTTTCTTTCGGAGTCAAACATTTTTGAAAATTCTTGTGTAAACCTTTTCCAATTTGATTTTATTTCTATAGGCAATACTGAAAACCATTTTTGGGCTGCGCCATCTAGAGTTGTTTGTATTAATGCTGTGCGTCGATGTATCCAGTTTTGATGTAGTGGCGTATTAATTGGTTCAGGTCCTATATTTAAAATCAAATTTGCTGTGACTGCATTTAAATAGTCTTCTACAGAATATTCAGGGTCTGTTCCTGTGAATACCATTAAAGGTTTATTTGATGTTATTGATGATCCACCCATAAGGTATGGATTCATCGTCATTTGTAATGATTCTGCTGCATTTGGCATTTGAGAAAAATTTGAAAGTTGATTTCTTGTTATTTCGTGTTGTTGAAGATAATATGGGAGTGGTATTTCATTTTGCATTTGTGCTGGTTGGTACGAGTTTGCAATCATTGGGTTTTGTTGCTGAATTGGTTGAAAAGATTGTGTATTAATTGGGTTTTGTTGTTGAATTGGTTGTTGGTTTTGTGTATCTATTGGTTGTGGAGAAAAAATTCTATTATATGTATGTGGTTTCTGTATTCCTTGTCCACGATATTCTTGATTATAGGGTGTAAATATATCTGGTTGTAAGAAATCATCATCTGAGGATAAGTAATCCATTTGATAAGATGTTTGTTTTTTATTTTTATTTTGTTGAAAAAATGGATAGTTTTCACTACGATCCTGTGGAGGATGTAAATTTGTTTGGAAATTTACTGAATTAGGTGGTGCCATTGGGTTATCCCAGTTTCGAGATCTTGTATAATTACTAAAATTTTTTCGTGGTTGATAATTTGTTTTTGATGGATGTGTGTAATTATAATTATGGTCTGCAAAGTTGTTTCTAGTGAACGTTTTGCGTGTTTTTGGCGGTATTGTCATGGGTCTGTATGTTTGGTAATCCATGTGTGAATATTTTGGGGCAACCGAAGGTTTAACGGTTGATTGTAATGTAACCTGTGTTTGTGAAGGATTTGTATTTCTTGGTGTTGTTAAGTTTGGACGTATTGGTGAAATACTTTGTTGTGTAGTTGTTGTGTGTACGATTTCTTCATTTATGAAGTGTGATGGTGTCTGGATATCTTGTTGAGTAAGATTCCTAGTTCCATTGAGGTTTTCATTGTGTATGCCTGTAGAGTTTAAACTATTATTTTGCATATCGGGTAAAAATGTATTATAGTTTAATGGTGTTGCATCAATGGTTAATGGTATTACTCGTACATAATCTCTTACATAAGATATCGTACTTATTGCTTGACTTGAGATTGATTGTGGGAAGTTTATGGATGCGGGATGAGACCATTTGGGGTCCCAAACATAGTCTGATTGTTCTGTGATGGCAGTATCATCGTTTGAGTTTTGGGGTCTAAAATTTTTTCTTGCTTGTGAAATTAAATCAATATTATGTGTGAAATAATCTATTATGAACCATGCCAAGATTTTTTGTAAGTCGTGTTTTGTATGTTGTGAAACTTCATCTTTCGTGAAATTTTCTTTAATTATATTTAGAAAACTAGAGAGTAGTGTGATTTCATGTCGTACTCTTATATGTTTAGATGTTTCTGTCGGTGAGACATTTGGTATCTGGATTTCGTTTTCTAATATCGAGATATAACTATATATTATCGCAAAAACTTCATTGGTGAATATGGAGTTTGCTCTTTGTGAGTTATGATATTGGATGCTTTTTATATATTCTGAGAATACTTTTGAGAATTCTAAATCAAGGTCGTCTGTTTGAATTATATATTTACTGTGATTCTGGTTGGGTGAGCTGAATTCTATGGAGTAGATTCCGTATTGTTGTGTTAGGTTACATATATCTTTTAGATAGTGATCGATAATTTGTCTTTTGATTTTTACATCTGGGAACTCTGTTTTACATGGACTGATTCCGGGTTCAAACAAATTTAAGAGTAAATTTTTCCAAAATATATGCTGTCCTCTATCAGTGGTTGCATCTACTATAAAGGGGAAGATATCATCATCATCTGGACTTTCTTCACCTGGGGTGTGTGTTGAGCTCATTTTTTTGTTTGATGACTGTTAATATGTAATTATCAATGTGTCTAATTGGTTGATTCCAATTGTATAAATGTACTGGTTTGTGTTTATACTGCTTTTTTGTTCTTCTTTTTCCTCTTTTTGATGAATTTGAAGTTGTTTCTGAGTCAGAGAAATATAATTGATCGTGAATTGGGCAATTTTTATCTATTGATTCTTTCAGTTTATAAAGTTCGTCTAAACTGTTGGTTTCTGATTCTGAAAATGCGTTGCGGTTTTTGGAAAATCTTTTTCGTGTAATTTGTCTTTGTTTAGTTATTATTTTTCTCTTTAGTGTTTGTCGTTTTGTTCGAATGTATCCAACTGTTTGTGTATGAGGTGTGATTACAAGGTCGTATTTTTTGTTATCTATTTCACAATTGTGTAAAACGATTGTTTGTTTATTTCCTAGGTTTTTAAATGACATAAGGTTTAGGATGACGGGTGCAAAAGGCTAACCTGGGTCTATTTGTTCAGGGTTGGGGAGAAAAGTATATCGATTCCGAAGAATGATTTTATACTTTCTCGTGGCTAGTATAAGCTAAGGTGTTAACTTACTTAATCTTACTTAGGGGTAGTGATTGTGTTCAAGGGTTGGAGAATAGTAAATCGATCCACAAGGTTCAGGTATAATTAGAACGCGAGTAGTTCGTTAGATACTATTTTAAACTTACTAAGTCTAAGATTTATCCTGGGTCTGGTAAGAGGGGGGATCAAGTGAAGGATGAATAACCGAAGTTCTTCACTGTTTATCCTAATTTGAATGATTAGTTTTATTCAAAAATTTCTGTTAGTCCTGGGTTTTTAGAAAGGGTTGGATAGTGAATCGACGTTTGAGGTCGTTAGACACTAGCTAAGTGGGTGGGGGAGAACAAAATTATTCTTTTTGATCCAAGGATAGGCCTTGATGATCAAGTTTTAAATGTAATTAAATAGAAAATAATTTAAGATCCAAGGATGAGCCTTGATGATCTGGTTTTAAATTTAAGTGAATTTAAGTTTAAAATAATTTAAATTTGTGTAGAGAAAAGATTTAGTGTTTTTATGATATTAGTGAGCTTATGAATGCTGTTATGTTTAGGTGATGAAGCTGGAACAACAGGATGATTTATGATTACTTAACCATTTATTGTCATGCTACTAATTTTTATTTTGATTTTTCAATAAATATTTTTCAAACATGTTTTGTATATTACTGCAGAATTTAGGAAAACGATCTGAGATCTTTTTATCAATCGTTATTGTATATTAATAATTTTGTTTAGCGCCTGAAATGATTTTGAAGATTGACTTCAAAATTTTATGTTTGCAAATGAAAATCTAAATTCATTGCTAGTAGTATTCTAAATACAAAAGTTTGTTCTGGCTTTTGCCGAACTATCTTATAACTATATGGTAAGTTTCTGCTTTGTCGTATGTCGTCTCTGGTTCGAGGTCTTCTTCCAATTCCGGGTAGTTCTGTTATCGTTCGGAATATTGGCTCTGATCTATTGAGTCGTAGAGACATTTCGATTAAATTATTGTCGTATAACATTTTGTAAATGTTTTGTCTAAATTCTAATCTATTATTGGTTAATTCTAAGCTATTAAGGTCTTGTTCGAGACTTATGGTCGCACCAGATGAGTTAGGACCGATGGGTATAACTCATAGAGTAATTTCGGATAGGGTACACCGTCTGCTCGTCACGCTATCTTATTTTCGGCCGGATAGGTTCGTGCAACTTCTTAGTCTAATACCGATCCTAATCTTACTCTTATACTGTCTAGTCTCAGGTTGTTAAACTAGTCTCTGCTAGGCTCAATAGATCTAGGGTATACTGGTTTATTGCGGCTGCTGAAGTACTCGGGAGAGTTCAACTAATTTCTAAGTTAAATTCAAATCTCTCTGGTGCTGAAATTACAAGTAATTTCAGCACTTACAAATAAGTGGATTGTTAGTTAGATGGATCATGATTGGTTGATATTAAATACTTTACATTGGAAAGCAAATCTTGCAAGACTCTTCGAAAGGTGAAGAAGCAAGATGTATATGTATTCCTACTCCAGATTTCTTGCACGGATCTCGCAAACTTAGCATTCCAATAACACTAGAGTGTAACATTCAACCGTTATTAAACAAAAGAAAGTGTTGATTTTGTTCGCTCTGAAAACTTAGCAAGGCTTTTACTTCGCGATATCAATATTTTCCCGACAAATTCTTAAATTTTTCTGAATCGGTTGTAGCTTGAGGGAAAAAAAGCTCCAAAAATTTTTTTCCATTGGACCAATGGAAAAAAATCTCTTAAACTTTTTTCTATAATATCGACTGGTCACCTATACGAACGTTTTAGTGAATTTTTGGAGTATTATTTTGTTTCTTCCTTGTTAGCGCCTTCTAAGCCGGAGATCACAGCTCTGGAGATCAGCTCTGCAACTGGAGATGATCAAATTATGGTGTCCTGGATCAAAAACACATCAGACATCGTGACGACTCAAAGCGTCTTCAAATGGAACGTAAGAAAACAATTCTAGTCCGTTTTCTTATAGTTTCTTAATTTTTAATGCCATAATTTCTTTGCAATTGAATATCATGAAAATGGAAAGTGAAACAATCCTTTGCGTGTCCCAATAGGTGGGTGGTTCGAACCCTAGCAATAACTGTGATCTTCTCACGTGACCAATGCAGTTACAGAAGATTTTCTCATACTATCAGTTTAAAACAATCATTTAATTCATTAAGTATGACCAGCTAAAAGTTAAGTCTAATTGTAATAATTCACAGAGGATATATGAAAGGCTAGCCAGCCTGTCTAAGCATTGTTCGTTTCTAATATTTCCCCATATTCTAGACTGAGTTTTTTGTGTTGCTAAGCTCTTTCTTTTCGACTCAAGGCCGTTTTCTGCGTCTAGAACTTTTAAGTGATATCACTTTTGCAGCCGGCATCGGCCAGGTAATGGTATACCTGCAGCTAGATGTCAAGCGAGAGCTCGTCATTATCACAATCAATCACTGCCATTGCCTTTGGATGATCCTAAAGTGAACAACTTACCACTATACTAAGTGCCTCTATAATGCTAATCAATTTATATACATAATGTTTACACAGATACTGCGCAGCTCAGACGGCGGATCGACCTACGATACCATATTCGAAAATGAGACTTACCTCACCGACTATCAGTTCGACTCTGGCCTACTGCCAGCCACTCTCTATTTCTACAAAGTGCAGAGTTTCTACAGATCCGCCGCCTCAGTCGAGTCCAACGCCGATACTGCTTGCACATGTACGAGATATGCAGGAAGCCGTTCATGGGATCTTTTTGTTTACTCTATTCTATGGTATTCTATGGTATCTAATATAGAATTTCACCCCCATAAAGAACCAATTGAGCGTTTACGCAAATGTTAATTTTGCACATTGTAACTAATTATTTCCCCCAATTTAAAATAGGAGAGGGGAATAGTTAAGAGGAAACTGAATGGGATTTTAAATTGATTCAAATTGATCTCTCTTGAAAATTTCGGATCCAATTTATCGTCTAAAAGTTGCTTTGATTGATTTGAAAGGATTTTGGTAGCCTTTTAAATCTCAACAAAATCAGTTTACGTCAATTCTTATAGGTTGCAAAAAAGTTCAATTTTGTTGCCCCAAATATTTTTTAGAAAGTTATCTGTACTTTTTACAGTAATCTTCAACCTCTTGAGAAGAATTGTTCACTGCATTTAATTATTTTGAAGCCAAGAAAAGTTTTCGTCATTGTTGCAGTGGTCTTAAGCCATTCGAGAATTTTTTTCACCATAAACATTTAGTTTAAGGAGAGGCTGTAGATTTGGCGATTCTACTGTTTTACATGCCATGGTAGCTTGAGCGTAAAGTTGATTAGTCCGTAAATTAAGTAGAGCAGCAAACAAAAAGTCGAGCTCAAAATAGTTCGAGTTTGGAAGAATTTGTCACTCCTATGCCAGAAATTACACAAAACAACAAAATTGGCGAACCCTCACCCCAAATGGGAACTAAGGAAGCTATTTTTATGAAACTCAAAAGACGGGTACTAGAGATTATTGGAAACAGGAATACGAAAAACGGAACCCATCAATCCCGTGGAGGGCAAGCGATAACGCAAGTGTAAATGGCTTGTCAGAGTTTGGTAACTAGCGGTAGTAATGGGCTCAAATTTTAGCATGCTGTAGATCTAGTTAAGAGAAGCTTATGTTCAGAACCCCAGACCACCAGGACCCCCACTTCTGGTTTCATTCCCTAAGTAAACAGACCCAACACTAATTTCCGGAAGTCGTTCCTTGGCCTGAATTAACGCGGGGAGCTGAAATTTGGAGGGACGATAGATTCAACTTGCGTTATAACTTGAACCGTTTCCAACGATGGAGGGGAAGCTATTAGGACTTGAAAAAAAAACTCCTGTTGACCGGAACTAGGCAATTTACGCAAAATTTTAAGCAAAGGCATACTGGTTTTTTAGCGGCAATAGATACTAGTTCCAACCGCCGGATAAAGAACTCCAGTGAGTGAAAACTCTTCGACAATTCTTTCCATTGTAAATCGCGAATTACCAGGAAAAATAATAAAGGGCCTTTAGAATGGGATAATTTGGAAAGTATTTACGGGGTATGTATGAAAGTTGGTAATCAGTACCCCCATGAGACCCCAAAACTTTTCGAGTAATTTTGAGCCCGGATAACTCCTGGATGACTTTAGACTGACCTCTGGCGGTTTTGACACCAGAATTGCATAGAAAACCCCATGATTAACATTTGAAAATGGCCTACTTCCCAGCCCAACCCCTAGAAATAAGAATCGGTCACCTTACTAATCAATTGGGAACTGAAGCAAAAGCGGATAGAAGCAACGTTGGATCAAAAAACTTAATTCAAAATACATTTGGTAATTATTGGTTCAGCTTAGCCTAGAGAAAGATCAAATAAAAGGAACTCAACTAGACTTAAGAAAAGTAGTCTTGGAGGAAATTGGCAGTAGTAAGACCGCAGCAATAGAATCAAGTCTCCTAGTAGTATGAACGGACGGGGAATTCAAGGCTTAATTTGACCCCGGAGGTGACGTTTTGGCTTAATTTGACCCCTAATGGACGAACTACGTTCCCCTAATAGCTAGAAAGTCGGGAATGGAATAAAGTATATATGAAAATCTTAGATGCTTGAAAGGAATCAGCTACCCGTGAAAAGGCTCTCTCCCTACCCTCGGGATGTCGGAACGTCAGCGCGGTAATAGACTAAAGAATTTGGGAGGGTCACTGAGTGAAAACTGTATGGCTTATAGATTGAGTTAAACTCGAGGGCTGATGTTCATGCACATCGAAAATTTGTTGATTACGATTGTATGGCGTTTGTTTGTTGGATCGAATAGTGACATCTTCCGCATACCAGGTATCTAACAAGTGTGATGAGGTTGATAAAAAATCGAACTTGGCGCGTGGCGTGTGCTGACAAGGCAAGGACGTACCCATAAAACATGTGCAGAGGAGTGGTTTAAGCGAATGTCAGGGCTGATAGGGAATGGCGTGACGCAAGTAAAACTAAGTGTAAATAGATATAAATAACTGGAGGGTACCGGAGAGCCTCCGAAAGTTGGAACACTGATGCTAAGAGAGCGAACAGAGGACTCTTAGTTAGTAGGAGAGCGATTGAGCAAGATGAGCAGAGCAGTTGGTCCATGGAAGACACTTTTGCTTGAAGCTAGTTGAGTCTCACAGTTGTTAGTTATTTAGTTTCGCTTTTTGAATCTGATTTTAATTCCGGGTCGAATTAGTTTTGTGAGCGAGTTGCGCAGTTGGAATGGCGAGTTTGGACTCGAATCAAGCCCCAATTGACGTTTGTGATAACGAAGCGATTGAACAGAACGAAACGCGGGCTTCTTTATAGATGTTGATAAATAGTAGTTAGCTCATTACGGGCATTATAAAATGCTTTTACAATTTTTCTGACTGAGAATTTTTTGTTGTGGCCACGATTTGCTGAACTAGCTAGAAAAGGAAGAGGAGAACAAAAAAGAGCATAAATCAAGGGAGAAATTGCGTAATCCTTTGATTGGCCGATTTAGGGAGAAAAGTGAAAGCGTGCTTAAAGGAGACGACTCCCCAATATTTTTACTTAAACCCTCAAATTTTAGAAATTTATAAATTTACTTCAAACGCGTTTTGTTCCGACTTTCAAAAAAAAACGTAATATTTATGTGTGGTATGGGTTTTTTGTTCAGTCAATTTTTGGCTATCAAAACAAAAAAATAAAAATTTTTAACAAAAATTTTTTACGCCGCATCAAAGATATTGACTCCTTAAAATCGAATTTTAAAAGATATTTTAACCCCAATCAATTTTTCAAAATTTTGACAGGAGGAAAACTGCCATAATTTGTCATGCTCTGGACTAGTTCATAATCTGAAAACAAATTATTGAGTAACGTAAATTACTTATGCATGGCGATTTATCCCACAGAACAAAATTGTTCCAATCTGAATTAAGGCCATCTATTTGGTCTTATTAATTTCAGACGGCTCAAATTTTTAAACTTGATCTTTGATATTGTCCAAAATTAATAGTTTTTTAATATTTTCTTTTCCTAAAAACATTGGTTTTGATTGGCAGTGGGAACATTCAGGGTTTGCCCTGATATACGAGCAGACTTGATTTTAATCAGCGGATTTTTAATAAACGAATCAACCAAAAATTGATTTTGATTAAGTGGCAGTCGGAATGTTCAGGGTTTTGCCCTGATATACGAGCTGTTTTGCTATACTCAGCCCATTTTTGTGAAGCGAATCAATCAAAAAATCGCGTATTAGTTAATCTTTAAGTTTTTTTTCCTGTTCGTATTTTAGCAAAAAAATAACCCAAAAGTATGCAGTAACCATTTGCTTCCAATTTGCTCATTTTAATTTAGAGTGAAACGAGTCAAAAAAATCTGTATGTAGTTTTTTTGGAATTGAGTTTAAAAACATTTAAGATAAATTAGTTTAATTAATTTTCACTTAGTTTCAAAAACTTAAATTGTCTCAAATCAAAGATGCAAAAAATCACAAAAGGTCTGTTTAGACCTATGTATACTCGATTAAATTTGATTAATTTTAGTTTGGAAATATGATCAGCTTAATTTGATTTAAATTTGATCCAAGTTCGTTCTATTTGGCAGTTTATGATTTTAATGAATTTTGCGACGCTAAAATCGATCTTAATATAATCTACATACGTTTTTGATTGAACTTCAATTGAGGTAAATTCATTTTTTCAGTGCTTAATATTTCGGTGAATGTTTTAAGTAAGAATTGAAACACGCATTGTATATATTTAGAAAAAATAGGCTACCGGATCTTCCGAGAACTTATCTATGCTCCGTAGTTTCTGCTGAAAAAATACACTCCGACAAAAAAAAATATTTCAACGGCTGAGAAAATACGAAAATTGAACCTATGATTTTTGCAAAAGGTGGGATTGTTTGTTCATTTAAATTTGTGTTCAGATCCAACAAAACCTGAAAATGTGGAGATGAATACAATCAACTCTACCCACTTCGAATGCTCGTGGAATACCCCCACCGACAACGGAGACCAGGTAAGAGCAAAATCAATATACAAAAATTTTACATTTTTGTGAATTTTGAGGTTGCACAAATTTGATTTATTTTCTAAGTCTCGACTCCTTTATATTTAAACTAGACCTAAAATGTATTAAAAAAGTCCATGCATTACCCTTTTAGTATTTATAAGTTTTATGCTGCCATTTTTACGGTGGAGTGAACAATACCAGTAAGAATATACTCAAGAATACAATCCATATTCTATGAACCAGCTTTTTTCCTGTTTATGAATAACACTTTCACGAACCTTTAATTAGAAAAAACACTTCAAAAGTGAAAATATGAACAAAATTGCTTTTTTGCTGCAGCTGGCTTTCTTCGAAGTGGGCTACAATGAGTTGTCTGGGGTGCTTGTGACGAAAGATTCCTTCAGCAATATCACCTACATAGGGGACCCTACTTTCCCCAACCAGATTATCCATAATGGAGGGGTCACTTGCTACGTCAGATCCATGTGAGTAAAGTCCAGTTGTTTTAACAGGAAAAAACCATAAGATTTGCAAGCTTAAGACACTTGTACATTGTCTGAAAAGCGAGACGCTTTTATTGATCAATGGTGCTTTTTTCTAACACTTTTTGTCGTTGGTTTTGATTTATAGTAATTTAGTATCATAACTATTTTTATTTATTCGATCTTTTCGTTTTTTCTTTTCTTTGCCTTTTAGTTACAACCACTGGATTAGAATAAACTTCGTCTTCTGGTGTGTTTTGCTCTTTTGTTTTTAGTTCTTTTTCTACGCAAAATCAGGTGCCAAAAATGATCAGAAGAATTCGAGTGAAATGAATCATATTCGGTTTTTTTTTAGTATTCAAACGAAAATTAAAATTTTTGTAGAATTTTTTCAAGGTCCGCGAGAAAAACCGGCTTGGGAAAAAAGTTTTGAAACAATCGCTTTACCGCCTTATCCCCATATCGCCCTAATTGAAAAAAAAAACCGCTTTTTCATTACGAAGTCAAATTGTGAACTGGATAGGCGCATTTTTCAAAGCGTGTAGGTCAATTGAATCCAGATACAAGTCTTTAAACATATGTTAAAATTTTGGCAGCCTATGATGGAAAAAGTGCTTTTAAATTTCTGCAAACACTTTCACCTAGCATAATTTACACGGTTCTTTTTAGTGTCAACTGTTCCGACGAGGGCAAGTTGTTGAACAGCAGCTGGGCTTCCGCCCTCGGCTTCTTGGCGCCGGCAGTTCCGAGTGTGCGGAGCGAGCCTGTGTCCGACTCGGCCATTCGAATCCAGGTCGTCCCCAATCAACTCAACTACGACTGGATGAATATGACTGCCACTATCTACAGAGACGGCATATCCATCGGTGAGAATTTCTTCTTTTGCTTACGCAGGTTTACGCAACCTTTTTGTTTTTGCTCACAATTTTCTTACCACAGACTTTTTTGCAGATTAATTTGGTCGTGGATTTTGTTCAGCGAGATGTGTTAATCGGCGGATATTTGATGACAGCTTACTTCTAATCGATTTTTGTTTTGCCAATTTTTTTTCTTCTCAGAAGGTTTGATAGATTTTCTGCCACTTTTGTTGACCGGAGAGTTTTTCTGGCCGTTTTTTGTTTTGTTCACAATATCTCAAGAAACTTTCAACGGAATTTGTCGTTCAAAGTTTTTGTTCACAGATTAATTGTCATTGATATTTTGGTTCAGTTACTTTTGTTTGCTGGCTTTTTGAAATTTTCAACAAATATTGGCTGGCGATTTTTTTTGTTCTAGAAATTTTTTCACCATTTTCTGTTAAGAGACTTGCTCTTAGAGTTTCAGCTTCTATTTTTTGTTGTTGTATAATTTTCTTTTCACATATTTTATGCTGATTGATTTACAAAGAAACCTTTTTCCGTATGCAGGTTCTGTGTCACACACTTTTTTCTACTTGTTTTTTTTTGCTGAATAATGAGGTCACATGTTTTTTTATGAATACTGTGTTGTAAGCTTTTTTCCTTGTTTTGCTGTGGTATGGCCGCAGGAAGCCGCTAAAAGTTATCCGTAGATTATCCTCTTGAGAAAAATGACATGAACTATTATGACACAGCTTCTACATTCAAAAATTCATATTGCAAAAGTTTAAGTTTTATCAAAAATTCTCCAAAAATTGAATAATTCCCCTAACTAATAGGATAGGAATCTCGTTTTTCTGTCAGCTTCGTTTTGAATACTGATTACGGACAAGTTTTTAGATCTCTTTCATAAACTGAGAGAAAAAGTTTTTTGTTTTTTTTCTTCAGCTGAAGACATAGAAGCTCCCTGGATATTCGAAGACAATCTGGACGTCGAACCGGGCAAGATGTACTCGTACAGTGCCACTGTGGACCAGAACGGAAACCCCTCCAGTCAATCAGCAGGGAAACTGGAATGTGCCAAACCAGCCCAGCCGGATCCAGACAGTGTGACGGCCACTGCTGTGAACACAACATCAATCACAGTCGCATGGTCTATCGACGACGGTAAACTTCGCACCACGACCAAGTTATATCCTCCCAACCACTGCTTTTAAAAGCGACTTCAGTGGATGATGCCCACCTTCTGTAGATTTTGGAATTTTAGCCATTCAGAATTGAATACCAAACATGCAGCACACGAAGGAAATTTCAAATTAATCTCAAAACTTTTTCAAGGCAAAGTTCTTGGCCAGAACCTGGAAACTTGTCCACAAACGGTTGAGTTACGATCTAAGTAGGAACAAGACTGCTCGTATCAGGACAAAGCCATATATGTTCGAACTTCTCCGTAAGGTGCAAGGAATAAATAATCTTATAAAGAAAATTGAAAAGGGATAAAGTTTCAAAAAAATAAGAAAAAAACTATGCATTTTTTCATTTTTCCCGGAAACTAAATTACGAGGCCAAAGTGTGCACTAGATCCGGGCACAATTTTGTATCTGCATGTTCCTGGATTCCAGAGAAAAGGCTTTGAACATGTTCCAAAACGTAAGTGGATTCACTTACAAAATTTCAGTGGTTTTTGCGTACAAATAACTACCGTAAATTTTGTCGGCAAAATGATTTTTTTGCGGGTTCCGCAACGCGCAAATATAGGTAATTGTTCCGGATTCCGCAAATGTAAGCGGATTCCGCAAATCTAAGTGGATTCCGCAAACTTATGTGGATTCAGCGTACAGTTTGCGGATTCCGCCTACAATTTGGGCATTCCACTTACAGTTGCGGATTCCGCGACAACTTATGTTCACTGAACACATATATTAATATTTGCTTAAGGGTTCCACAAAATGGTTCCAGATTCCACAACTTTTGTTGCGGATTCCTCAAAGTTGCCTGTTTTTGGAGCGCTTTTGAGCAACGCAGCTTAGTGTTTTAGCTATTTGTCCGTGGAATCCAAATTAGCAGAGAAGATCAAAGAAATATAGCAATGTTGCAGATTCTGCGACAAATCTGAATTTTGCCTGTTGCGGAATCCGCTTACAATTCACAAAATGCACAGTTTGACCTCGTAATGTAATCCCTTTGCACTCTTGAGAACAAAATGATATAAATAAGTTCTAGCAAATATGAAAATTTCGGATAAGCTTGCCTCAACTCGATATCTGAGCTGCGTTAATTCACTTCTCGCGCTTTTATTGTTACAATTAAGCTAAGTTGGAAATTTTCTGCTGATGCTCAGGAATCCGCAGCAGAACTGAGGCTGAAATCGAAAAGCTTTAGAATATTCATGGAAACTTTGTCACATCCTAAGTAAGATAAAAAAAAGAGTTTTTTGAAGCATTTAAGTTATGACTGAAACCAAATCGTAGTAGATTGCAGTTGATTTTATATGTCAAACTATCGCTCAGGCTTGAAATTAGGTTTTAAACTATACAATCACACTCTGTTTTATATAAAAACCTGAAAAAATTTTTGTTCCGACTTTTGAAGAAACTGATGGAATTAATTTGCTCAGTGGTTTTTTTATCCTTTCAATTTTCGACTATTTATCCATTCACGCTAATCAATTTTGTTTAAATCATCTTAAATTATTAGTCTCCTGAGCACAAAAAACACGCTATTTTTCATTTTTTTTGCAAAGTTACGATGGCTAAAATTTGCCAATTTTAGATGAATAACGCACGTATACTGCGTGTTATTAACAAAGTGAGTTGCTGTTTTTCGACGCAGCGCTGTTCCATATTAAATCGAGGCAAACTAATTGTTTTTATTTAAAAATTTCACCAATTTTTTCAATTGATAACTTGCCACTCCGCAGACCTCATCTCATCTCAAATCCATCATTTTTCTGAGATCAAATTGAAAAGGATACTTTACCAATGATCTTTTAAAGTAATGCGCACGATATCCCTTGTGCTATAATGCGTAAGCGGCTATTCAATCCGGCTCAAAAATTGTTTTAAAATGACTACGGAGATGCTAGTTGTTCTAAGTGCTACGTTACTGTATGCTTATTGTTCCGACTTTCGATACGAAAGTAACAAAATATTTGTCCTTGGGGTGGGATTTTTTTCTTCAGACAAATTTCGACTTTTTAACTAGCCATTTTTGACGGAATTTTTTTTATCATTCAAAAAGTATTGTTATCTTGAGCTTAAGTTTGAAAAGATATTTCACCTGTGATCAAAATTCGTAAAGTTATGGGGGTTAAAAGATTGGCATTTTGACCAATTTGGGACAATTAACGCGCGATATGTTTCGTGCTATTAACGCGTAAGCGTAGATTTAATCCGTCTTAGAAATCGTTCCAAATTGGTTGAAAGAAGTTTGTTTGCCACAATTGATTTGTTACTAGAAGCTAAATTTATCACTTGGTACTTTATATGGCGTCTGGGGTGATAATTTTTCACAAAAAAGTCTCAAATTTTTTTTACAAATTTTTTTTTCATTTTTTTCTTTTTTATACATTTATTTTTTAATCTTATTTCTGCTTCATAGACCTTAAAAGACAATCGGAACATTCAGGGCTTCGCCTTGATACGAGCAGTCTTGTTGTATCTAACTGTAGTTTAATTGGCTTTATGGTGTTGAATCCAAAAAATAATTAAAAGTCAAAATATTCATCAATTTTTGTTCACAAAATTGAACACTACTCCAAAGACGTCAAGGGGTCGCTTAGGGTGTCGCCTAGAAAGTATTTGAAGCATATGCTTGAATTTGTATGAAACTCTTTTGTCGTATTTAACCACCATCTTTATAAACAATTAATTCAATTGTTGACAAAAAATCACAATGACAAAAAAATTGAAAAGCAGGCAATTTTTTGGATAGAAGTGCCGAAATTGGCTTTTTCGATTTTTGATCAAGCTATTCGCTTCAGCTCAGGCGTAAAAGTATATAACTAAAACGTAAAAAGTCTTTAATTTTCCAGTTTCGTCAGGCCGAAAGCCATGTTGTAAATTAGGGTTAAAAAAGTCAGTTTGGTTGGTAAAAGGGTCAACTACTTGAGGGTACCACTCTGTCCATCCCTTTTTTCCATTCCTGAACTTTACTTTTTTCCTTTCTCTTCTACGCAATCACTTTCTCAGAAAATCATTTATGTTAAAACGGTCATAGCTTTAAAAAAGTAGTAGTTAGATTACAATATATAAAGAGTCCAATTTATGTTCTGTGGTGCTATTTAATTTTTCCCAATTTAAACATAAAAAAGCGATGTTTCACTTGAGACATGTTTAAGAAGTCCTTGTGTTGACATATTGAACAACCAACATATCAAAGAGTTACAAACCCAATGCATCATTCCAAAGCTTTTTTAAAGTCAACGTTGTAAACTATTCTTCGTGTTTTCTTTTGAGTTTTCATCCTGATTTTTCGAATGATTTACTTTTCCTTTTACATATGATATTTTAGGAAAAATTGTAAGCATAGTTCAGTTCTCTTATCTAATTGAAGTTTAACCCTAATCCACTCAAGGTTTTCTATCAAAACGGCTAAGTCTTTTATGAAATTTTAGAAAAATTCCTTTTTTTCCATTTACTATTGTGGTCAGAGCAATTTGTAATTATCCATAGCAACCGTAAACTTATGTCTTAGCTTGTAAAAGTTCCCCACTACAAAATTATCAACAAGAAAAGTGTGGTCAACAAAAGCTAGTTGCACAGCAACAAAATAGTTTGTAACTACCTTTCTTTTGATGTTTTCTAAGTTTGACTTTAGTTTTTTTTCTAAATTATTTGTTATTTTTCATTCTTTGGGACTATAAATTTTATGCTTCCAGATCGAGTTACAAGATCCATCCGCAATTTTCCTGACCTCCTACTTCCTGAAACATTCATTTGAAATAGACCAAGTTAAGATCCTCCATTTAATTTAGAGTAAATTTGCTTAGCTTTACGTGTAGAAAAATCTATTTTGATCGGCTCAAAAATCAAACATAGAACCAAAATCGCCCCTCCCCCCAAAAAATCGTTTTTCTCCCAAAAGAAACGACCAGCAATTGACAAAAAGCGAGGTCGGATCATTCTATGTTATTTGGACAGATAAGAGACTGTTTCCGTTATAATATGTTTGTTTTTCATTGTAGGCGAAGTGGATCACTTTTTGCTGAGCTCTCAGAAGGAAACTCAAGTAGAGTTTGACGCTCTAGTTGACGTCATTCCAAATGTGACCGACTATGAGTTCACATTTAGTAACCTGAGGGCAGGCAACTGCTACACTTTCGAAATTCTACCAATCAGAGACTGCAACACTTCCGATTTGGAAGCAACATATTCAAATGCGACCAATTACACGGGAGAAGCCATCACCGTATCAGCTTGCGCACGTGAGTTTTTTCTATCAGCAAATGAAAACGTAGGTCAATTTTTCTGCCGAGATAAGAATTCTATTCAATTTGAATAGAAAATTTGCAGGTGCAACTTTTTTTAGCTTTTGAGAACCCGGAATTCACAAAAGGATTATAATTGAACATATTATTTTTATTGTCTGCTAACTTTCCAACATTTTTTGCACTTATAACAAGTCTGCTCGTATCAAGACGGAAGTTTTTCAAAAAGTCAAAATTTCAAAACTAATAGCTTCATTAATTTTTTTTCAATCACATCGGTGGAAACATTGAACGACAGTCAGACCATACTTAATGTTTTGAAAATGAACTTGAAAATTATTACCAAGATCAAAAAACATGTAGCCAAGATCATCCAAGATCTTGACAAGTTACCATGTAAAATTTTGCGAAGTTATCATGCAAGATAGTCTAAGATTCCCAAGTTACTTGCCAAAATAACCATGATACTTGGAAACAGTAACATCAGCTTGGCAATATGTTTCAAGGATGCGAGCAATCTTCTATGTTCATTCTCAAAGAAAATCTAAGAGAAAGTAAGCAAGCCAAGTTGTTTCAGATTTTCATCAAGACTAAGCAAATTAGATTGGTCGTATCCTTGAAAAATCTTGCCAAAAGGATATTATTGTTTCCAAGTATCAAGGTTATCTTGGCAAGTAACTTGAAAAAGTTACCCGATCATGCACGATCTTGCACGTACTTGCATGGTTACTTGGCCAGATCTTGGATGATATTGGCAAAAAATTGAGTGATCTTGGTACAATTTTCACTAAAGTCAGTCACATAGATTTGTCACAACTTTTCAACTGCAATAAAAATTGATTAAAAGCATCACAATTTCATAACTGCTCATTTGGTCAAGTTACTTGATTTATTTTTACAATCTCATATCCGTTGAACTATGAAGCTTAGAAAGCCTAGCAACGAATTTTATTTCTTTTTTGAAAGTTTTTTTTCCTCTAGTTTGACAATAAAATATTTTGAGAGTGAGCGAGCGCCTGCAAAACAGATAAATTTTAATTTTTCGCTGAGCTCAAATAAACCAATGAATTTGGCGGACCTACAAAAAATGAATAAAATTATGATTCGACTGTGGCGACCAAAAAATTGGGCTTTTCTTTCCGGAGTTATTGTTTGTTTCGTGTTAACTGCTCCAGGTCCCCGCACCCCTGGACTGGAGGTGGGTCCGAGTGAGTATGAGGAGATGGTGATTCACTTCAATATCACAGACAACGAGTACTCCTACCAACTATGGAGGTACTTACAAGATCCTTACACTTCAAAATGTCAATGAACGTATAGTGAAAACACTTAAACAGGTTGTGATGATTTTTTTGATTTTTTTCAAAAGTAATATTTTTTCACGCTCATGTTCGATCTTTGGCGTTTTGACTTTTGATTTCTTTCTAAATTCAATTCAAAATGGTTGGACTTTAAAAATTACGCTCTGCATTTAAGAATGAGCAAATGGCGCAAAAATTACGTGAATGTGAGTTTATGTCCGGGGTGGCTCACTCATAGAGTAATTTCAGATTAGGTACACCGTCTGTTCGTCACGCTGTCTTATTTTCAGCCGGATAGATTCGTGCAACTTCTTAGTCTAATACCAATCTTAAACTTACTATTTTATTTCCTAGTCTCAATAGATCTAGTGTAAACAGGTATCTGCGAGATAAGGTATCAGGAACTGTTCTGAAGGAGAAAGACTGTTTGTTGAATTATATTTATTCTGTTCTGTTTGCTGAAACTATGAATAAATTCAGCTATACAATTTATAGTAAGTGTTAGTTATGGATCATGATTGGTTAGTTAGAAATACTTTACAGAGATAGTTTTATCAATAATATAATTGGTTATAAATACTAGTTTTAAACTAGTTCCAAATGGTTTTTAGTTTCGAGCTAGGATTTTAACTTTTAAATTACTTTCATATATACTGTTCTTGAAACCAAAAAACTTTAAGGCCATCTAATTTTTCCTTTGAAATTCGGAGATCGATTTTCTTTTTCAAAAAACAAGTCGGTAGTTTTTTTAGGTTTTCTTGCGCTCATTGCCATTTTTTCAATTGTCTGTCAGCTTATTTTAATACTCTCAATCAAATGTGAATGAAGGACGCAAAAATGAGCCAATTAGAAGTTAATATTTCAGCTAATGTTATACCCTCCCAGCTGTTTAGTAATAAAAAAAAGTGTAGCACAACTTTATTTGTACTTTTGTGTTAAAAGGAGGGGCTCTAATGAAAACTTATTGACTGATCAGTGTTTTCTTTCATATGAAGATTAATTAATTCCAGTCGGCAGGTGTTAGGCTGAGTTTGGTAGATGATATTGTTTATAGTACGGAACTAAAATTAAATAATATTGAAATACTACAATGACAGAGGGCTGTTGTAGGTTTGCTTAGGGTGTAGGGTTTTGTGAGTTTTGAGAAGGTGGGTTCTTGAGCTCTAATAGTTTTAAGTTTTTGAGCAAAGGCCAATCTAAAATTTTCACAAGATGGGGGCGGTTTATCAAAAAAAGTAGAAAATTTTTGTTAACCTTTTTTTTAAGCCGACCATCTTGATTTTCCGAGGTCTGCCAAATCACTAGAAAGACTATGTTTTGAACAAAGTTTCTGCTCCACAAAAAAACTCTTTAAAAACAAGGCAAAAAAATGGTTTTGGAAAATTTTGCCCAAAAAGTTGCGTTTTTTCGGCTCGCGCTACCTCCTCAATAATTGCATATATTGTTTATTAGAAAAATTTTAGGATTAGTCAGACAAAAATGGATATATAGTACAAAGAGAGTACAAAGGGGAACCATTTGGTTCGGCAGAGGATTGAATCCTTGAAGGGGGAAGATCCAACCCTCCCCAAATCCTAAATCCGATACTGTCTGTGAGCTATCTTGAGTAAAAGTTTAACCGAAACTAGTTCCATTAGCCAAATGAAATTAGTCTCCCTAACATTGAGTCGGGTTAGATCATCGACTTGGGTCAAAATTAGCCTTTATATGAAAAAATCGCTGCTTAGCTCATATAGAAAAACGCTTGGTTTTGCTGCAGTTTAAAATTGAATTGACTTTTTTGAGTTCTTTTATCATTCCTTTAAAGGTCATCGTCAGTGAATGTGGAGCCTGATTTCAAGCTGAACATGTCAGATGGAGAAGTGGGCATCTTCCATGACAGACAGGACATAGAGGGGGGCTATGTCTACTGCTACAAGGGCAGAGTGACCAAGTCAGCTGTCGAGTCATATGACTCACCAGTCGTAAGTATGGTCCCATAATGGGATTATGGACATGTATGGCCTGGTCTCATATATATGCAGATGATTTTGCTCTTATATGTATGGCCATGTATGCAATCTTATGTTGGTCTCAAAAATTAGAAAAAACGCTGTAAAAAATAAGTATAATTGCCATATAATCTCATAAAAGAAGGCTCGTTTTCCCGAGGATTATCACCATAACGAAATGTTTTTTTATTTCATTCAAAATAGCCTTTCCGTTTTGAGCTCAGGCATCGCTTCAAAAGAATCAAATCAAATTATACGCGTTTTGAAGAACCCAAATTCGTTTGAATGTGATTTAATGCAAATAAACTCCAACAAAATTTGTCTATTCAAAATTTGGCTGAAAGTTTTTTTTTCACTCGCTGTTTTCAACTACCAAAATGGGCCCTGTAGTTGCATCATTGACGCCTACAATATTCTGTATAGAGGCTGAAAAAAAACACTTGCTATACTTGCCATACTTGTGTACAAAGTACATAAAGGAGCTTCCGATTTTTGAAAAAGTGAAAATTCTATTAGTTTTTTCGAAATTTAATAAAAATATTGTGGTTGTTTTTAAAAAAAATAGAGCTTACTTTCTCAAAAAATATTGAGTATTTGAATACTTTTGATTATTTGAATCGATCCAAACAATGTTAAGAAAATTAATCACAAAATCAGATTTTTGTATCAATTTTTTCGTTTATTAAACAATTATTTTAAAAAAATGACAAAGTTGGAACTTTGATAACTTTCGTCAATTGTACTGCCGCTGCTATAAATATGCAGTATGGAGGATTTAATAAGCGTAAGGAAGCAATCTAGTGGTGCCGATTTTCGAAGAAACGCAGGAAAGTATGGGCTCGGGGTGGTTTTTTTCATTCAGACCAATTCTCAAAAAAATGTCCGCCGGGGGATTGATCCATCTTCGTGATCCAAGAAGGGGTGCGCTCATCACTATCATCACTAGACTATCCTGGCCTTATGTTTGTTGTGAAATGCTCACGAACAGACTAACGTGACTATGAAAGCGCTGTGATACGTTGATGCATTATTTACGCGTGCCAAAAAATCCCGCACCACAAAATCGTTCCAAATTCAATTGAGGCAGGCTAATTGGTCTTTTAATTCCATAAAAGATTCCTAATATTCAGCTTAAACTTTATAGTTTGTCAATATTTCATTTGCCAAAAACTATTTGAGACCAGTTTATAGACAGTCGAAAGATTCAGGGCGTTGCCCTGATACGATCAGTCTTGTTTGAAAAGTACAGCAACACAGAAGAAATATAAGCAACATTGAGCTACCTGTGTACAAATGTTGGATCTTTTATTGCCCAAAAATCATTATTTCAACATCTTGAACTGAAACTATTTTGCTTCAATCTGATTGGCTAGAATTAGCCAATCAAATTTCAGTACCACCTCAGAATGTTTTCTTCAAAATTTGAAGTCGAACTATAACTGAGCCGAATTGGCCAGAAATGAAAAAAGTTTAGTAAACTAATCAATATTATTTCAAATACGCTCCAGAGTCTTACCCTGATAAGAAAAAAAATGATAACCTTTGTCTCTGCTCAAAACTCGGCAGTGTTAGAAGACGTTTTAAGAGTATAGTGATCGCTTTTGCTTTAACCAAATCAACCAGTGCTATCAGTATGTTGTTCTCAGCATTTAGTATTAAAAAATCGCAAAACTAAGAAAGTAATAAAACCCCATCTGTTCAAGTATATCAAATTTCTGCAGTAGGTGTAATTGAAGAGCTTTTTTCATAATGATTCAGTATAGTATCTATTAAACAAAATTGTTTGTATCAGGGCAAAGCATTGAAAATTCAGACTGCGGCTTAACGTGTCTAGTGTTTGGTGAAACAAATATTTTTCATTCTCTCTAAAGTAGCAAAAAAATCTCTATTTTTTCTCGGAAACTTTTGTTTTTCTGCGCAATTTGAAGTAATCACTGAGAAAAGAGAGGCAGAGCGAGATCTATGCGATAATTATGAGTAGCTATATTCCACAATTGCTACTCTGTAATACCGCCAAATTGGTTTTTTAACCGAAAATCTCGTGAATGATCTCAGTTTGAATTATAGTCGTTAGAGTAGTCCAAAAATGAAACCATAACTTTCATTATGGTTTCATTTTATGATTCATTATTATGGCAAAAAAAAGAGATGAAACATTTTCTTACACATTTGAGGCCAGGTTAACGACACTTTTCAGATAGTAACAAAAAAATTTTGTCTAAAATGTTTGAAAGACTGTGTCAAAATTTTAAACAACCATAGCATAAATATTCAGCAATTTGTTCAAACAACAAGTAGCTTTTAGAATTGGTCAAAAATTGTCTATTTTTAATAACAAAGTAAAGTGCACACTTTGCTGGCATTTTTCAAGCAGAGATTAAGTTAAACTAAACACAAGCAAACCTGATAATCTTTGAATCCCCAACGGAGTAAAATTGCCAAATCATCCATGTTTGTCATAGTGGGCTTTTTTCTAATGTAATTTAATAATTTAGTCCATAAAATATTAAAATTTGAACAAAATTGGTTAATTTTTTCTCGGTTCCTTGAGTTTCTTCACCAGTCTGTTTTTTATGTTTCAAGGCTTGCAGTTGCTCAATCCCGAATCCAGTGACTGATTTGGCAGTGGGCAACCAGACTGATGAACAGGTGATAGTGACCTGGCTCAGTCCATCGGGTAACTTCACCTATGCCACTGTGAAGCTGAACGACATGGAGGCGAATGTAACCGGTGGTGCAGAAGAGTTCATAGCAGGAGACACGGCCAGTGGAATGACACTAACGCCCAACACGCCATACTCAGTCAAAGTATTGTACGTGTTTTTCACACAACTAAATACACTGCTCATTTTAATAAACTTTAGAGCTTTAAATAACATTTTTCTCCTCAATTTTTGTCTAATTTTCACCCAATTTGAAATTTCAAATTTTATTGGTTTTGTCCGGATAATTTAAATCAGCACTGAACTTCCCAATTAACTATGTATAGAAAAAAATTTAAAGCACGTTTTCTTCAATATTTTTGCTGGTTTCAGACAAAAAAAAACAAAATGCGCGAAACCCAAAACTTTTTGCGGAAAATCATAAACAAATTAAAGTGTTTGTGTTGTGATTGTGCTTTCGTGAGTTTCCTCATTTGTAAATGAAATCAGCACTTTGTAAAATGCACTTTTAAAACGCGTTCTATTTTTTGCCAGTAGGCTTTTTTTATTATGATTTACTTTTTTGGAACCATTCTGAATCTGAGTTTTTTCAGCTACTACCTCAACTGTCCGGTGAATGGGGAAACCTATAGGTCGCCGGAAACATCTGTACTGGACCACACAAGTCCACAGCGACCAGTTATGATCCTCACTACTGGACCAGTGACCCCATCGGTAAGGGCCACGGTTGACCACCCTACAAAAATTCCCCCTATCTTAGAACTTCTTATAAAAATTGTAGGAAACATCCGCTATCTTACAACTTTGTTATAGGAAAAGTTCTAATATAGCGACTTTTGGTCAACCCGGGGATGGTTACTCAAACAGTTATTGCTAATAAATCGCTAGCACAAAATACTTAAGCAGAGCGAAACCTGAATCTTTTTTCGGAATTTTAATGTTTGATATGTCAGCTAACCTTGAACGATCGATGACAACATCAGTGACTTTGAACAAGTTGAACGGTCATAAAACAGTGCATTTTAGGTTAATCAATTTTTTGACAAGTTTTTTTTCTGAAATAATTGAAAACTGATTTCAGGCGTCTAAATGAGCAGTTATAGATTATTTGATTTCACTCGGACTAGTTGATCGAAAAAAAGGTGCAACAGTTTTGGCATTAACTGTCCATCGATGGTAAAAATGGGAAAAACTTTTTTAGAGCGACCAAATTTATTTTCCGAGATCTCCCAAATGATTATAATCACCCCAGTTAATCACTTGCTACAGGTGATGGGGGTACAGTTCTGGCTGTCAGATGGAACGGGTGAGTTCCAGATGAGGTTGGAGAGGGACGGAGGTGACGTGGATCTGAACGTCTCCAATCCATACGTGGACACTTCACTCACACCCGCCACTGCATACAACTACACGGGTAGATTATTCTCTCAAAAGTTTGAGTATACAGCGGCCTGTGCTCGTGGCGGTCCTGTCTGTGATCAGTAAAACATATTGATCTAGCTAACTGCAGATTAAAAATGCATATAATTTGGTTTATTTTGCAATCTGCATTTCTATTATGCTTATGCGGCAACAATTTCATTACCTAAACTGCTCGAAATTTCTTGTAATGCGCGACTCATGTTGCCACTTTGCACTACCCATGTTGCGAGTTTGCGTGTTCCATGTTGCGGCTTTCCGCAACTCATGTTGCAAATTGGCGCGACCCTTGTTGCGAATTTGCACGCCCCATATTGCGACTTTGCGTGGCCCATTTTTGCTGTATTGCAACTTTGCGCAATCCATGTTGCGACTTTGAAAAATACAGTTAATCAAATCAACTGGCTAATTTTTGTTTAAAGGTTTCGTTGGACCATTCTGCGCCAACTTGCGCAGCATTCAGAAACTCTTGTTTTAACATTCAGCTCTTTTCCGCTTCCCCCTACATTTGAACTTCATTTTTGAAAAACTACTTTTACATTGCTATAATGTAATAAAACTTTGAATGGTGAACAATTCTTTTATTGTGAACGCATTTGTTTTTTATACCTTACACCGTAAAATCACGCATTCAGACATAATAACAATTAACAATTAAGACAATTAAGAAAATGAAAATTTTGAAATGTGGGGGAAAATGAAAAAGAGCCTAACATTGTATATACGCAAGGTGCAACTCATTAAAAGGTATTTGAGAAATAAATGTAAATATTGTCATTGTTGGCAAAACCGAGTGTTATTTTTTGTCTGCCGTAGCTTTTTGCTTCTTTTGTTCTTGAAAATATCCGACAACAAGAATATCCGACAATATAAACATTTAACGCCATTTCGCAAAAAAAAGCAGCAAGCAAAAATTAAGCTTTTGTGTGCATAACGTAGTGCTGGATACACATAATTCGATTTTCTCCCCATTTCCCAGAATAAATTTTTTCAAAAACGCTCAAAACGCCCATTTATTTTGTATGGCATGTTTTGTATGCCTTGGTCAATGCAGGATTAGTTAAAATTAGTTACAATTGTTTTAACAAAAATCACTTGTGAAATTTTTAACCAAAATTTAAAAGTTTAATACTTTCATTTTATCTTTTTTTAGGACAAAACTAAGACAATGCAGGCCGTTTCGAATGCATTGTAGTGATGGTCAAACCGAGATGGTTAAACCTTTGGTGTTTCTACTTTTGAGTAACCAAGGTCTTTGCCACCAATTTTGGTTACGAACACTACCCAAAAATTTTGAGAAATTAAATTTTGCAGAAACAATTTTTTTTTGATTTATGGAAAATTGCTAGTCATACAGTTTCCATTTATGAAAAATCAAAAAATCAATAATCATAGACATTTCATAAAATGTTTTGTACTTAACGAATTGGGGTTTTTATATGGTTTGACTGAAAAAAAACCGCAATCATATAAATTTTTTAAAAAATGAAAACTCTATAACCAGCATTTTCTTGTCTGCGACGTTCAAAATTGCGATATTTTAAAATTTAAGTAGCAATTTATAATGGGTTTTGCCCTGCAAAATTATAAGATACTTTTTTCCCTAACCCATTTTTGTTCTTAAAAAATTTTCAAAAAACTTTTGTCATTAAACATACCAAAAATTGTTTGTATCGTATTTGCTGAAAATCTATGCTGAGTTATTCTATGAAGAGAATTTTAGCTGTCTGCTTTTGAGCCAGAATAGATACTTTGGCGATTCAAGAAGGCAAAAAAAAACTTTCGTAAAAAGGCAAAAAAAAAACCCTTGTAATCTCTTATAATCTAATATAAAAGGTTATAAGCCTTTTTTCTGTCAAAACTATCTAAAAGTGAGATGTCTTGTCTTTCTTTGGTTAATCTGAACACAATGTTTTACCACGAAACAAAAGTTTCAAACATATCTCTTCATATTATTTGAAAGAATCCCGCGGTAGGTGAAATATAATTCTTCTATAAAATCATGAAACCAAAGCTGTTGGCTGATATTTGGTGATGAACATAACCTAAAATGTGCATCATGAAATAACTTTACTCAAAAAGAAATGAAAAAAAAAAAAGTTATAAATTTGATATAATTTGAAAACTGTTGAAACAATTTTCTCCTTTTTCACATAAACCAACTTCTACGAAAAGCATGACACACAAGCAATTTAGGTGCAAGTTCGAAGACAAAATGGGCAAGCAAAAATGATTATAAACAATTATAATCTATCATAATGGTTTTTTTGCAAAACAAATGAATTAGAAATTCGGATAAAAATAATCGATTATAATCTATAATAACTTATCATATTTGAGATCAAAAAGAGAGGTTATATTTAAAGACTGGTACTATTTTTGTGAGACTGGTACTAAAATCCTTTTATAATCGAAAATAAACGTTGGAAATTGATTGCGGGTCGACATTTGTTTGTAAGAATTTATGACAAACAAAATTGTCAAAACAATTGTATTCTATCAAAGATAGCTGTGTTGTTTTAGCAGAACACCCGGTCCGATTGTTTTTACCTTCCTCGAGACTGGGAGGGAAAAGGGAAAAATAATTTGGGAAAAATCATTAAGGGGAAAATCATTTGGGTTGAAATCAGGAGCGGAGACAAAGTGACCCATGGAATATCCTAGATCTGTCCCTGGTTGTGAAATTTTTATCGAAGCATTTTTTTGCATCTTTGTTAGGCTATAGCTCTCAATCCTTATTTCTAGCTTTTGTTGGTTGATAATGAATCAAAAGCTAGCAAAAAACTTTTATTTTATAAAAAAGATGTCTCACAAAAAACATAAACATATATTTAATTTTGATTTTATAACTTTATTTCAGTTTGATATTTTACAGGATATCTGATCGGCAACAATGGTGAATTGAGTCCCCCCAGTCAGGTTGTTTTCCACTGCACTCATCCTGAAGCCCCCCTCCAACTGCAAACGAGTACGGTGGAGCCCACCGCAATTAGAGTGTCGTGGGAAAACCCCCCCAACTCACCGGACGGTCAGTGATTAACCCCCCCCCCCCCCCCCCCCATCACCTCGCGTGCAAATTTTATATTTTTTCAACGTCTACTAACTTTGTCTAATTGTCATGAAAATTGGCGTATGAGCTATTTAGCCAATAAGCAACACATCTGTATATACAACTTTGTAAAACCAATATTTATACACCGTAAAAACAAAAGCTATTTCTGGTAAGACGGACGGTGCAAGCCCAGCACTTTATGCAATAGTTACATCATTTATTAGGATATTACATAACACTGGACCAGCTGCAAACTTCCCTAGTGACAGAGACTGTGAACACAAACAGAGTGGCAGCCTTTACCATTGCCACCGGCGACTCTGCTCGATATGACAGTGGACCCCTGAACTTGACGGTAGACGCCGGATCGGCCCTCGTTCCAGCCACTCAGTACAAAATCAGCGTCACGGGGTGCATAGGTAGGCACACGGTAGAGCACATACGAGTCCTAATCCCCCTTTGGTACCTAATAAAGAGTTTCCCCACTATAATTAACTAATTAAACGGTTTATCCTATGTTAGTTTTGCACCTTCAAAAGGGGAGAGGGATAATTAACAAGATCCGAACACGCTTCGTCCCCCTTTTTCAATATATTTTTTTGAGCTCCCCCCCTTGATTAAATAGCGTCTTTTGTCTATTTTTATCAGGGGGTGCTAGAGGTGTTTTAGAGCCAAAAAGTCCTCGTAAACAGCAGAAGCATTTTAAAACTTTGAACTTAAAAGTAATCGTTGGAAACCTATGGATATAAAACTAGCCTCTATATAGGTTTTTTTCACAAAAAAAACTAAACTTTTTGTTGACCTCTTGTTGATCAATTTGTTCAAAAACAATGCCAGAATCTTAGTCAAATTTTATGTCGTAGCTGAGTCGTTTCTTATATTTTTTTAATAAGGAAAAATCTATATGAAGACCTAGCTTATCCGTATCCGTAATTAAGCTTAGGCAATCGCTTATAACGGATTAATATGTTGATTTTTAATCTTTATTATTAATTATAATTACCAAAATTAGCTGTTAACCAAAACGAATATATAATCGATTATAATCATGATAATTTCCAAGAAAAGATAATATCTCATAATCCAGTCCCGCGCTCAGTAAAAAGAGAAAATAGTCGATTATATTATAATTATAATCGTACTTTTAGCAAAATAATATTTAATTATAAGCGCCAATTTTAGATGTTTAAGCGATTTATAATCCATTATAATGATAACATTTTTGGTGACAATTTAATAAATTATAATCAATTTTAATTCATTATAATTTTTCTGAAGGTCTCTTATAATCTCTTATAATCTATTATAATAGATTTTAATCCCTTTTTCTATCAAAATATTATTTTAAGAGAAAAATGAAATATAATGGATTATAATTTAGCTACTCTGTATGAAAACACAGTAAAAATCAAGCAAACCAGGGGCGGATATGAGATTTTCTCGACGGGTGGAGGCGGATTTTCAAAAAATTTCCAGAAGTTTTTTCGACCAAACTTTTTTTAGTTCGACCAAATTGATATTCCGAACTTTCCCAGAGCACTTAAAGACCCTGTTTTGGCCAAGTTTTGTGCGCCGCAGGCAAACTTTTGAAGAAACAGGCCAAAAACGGCTTTTTTAAGGCAATTTTTGGAAAAATTTCACCGAAAAGTCGCGTTTTTTTGGCGCGCGCTCCCCCTCAAAATTAGTTTTTATTGGCGTCAAAGGCCAATGGGTCCGTCACCAAATATTGATATCTCAAAACACTACAAAGAGGGGGTCGAATCCCTGAAAAAAGGCGTCCCCCCTAAATCCGTCGTTGCAGTAACAGTAAGAAAGTAAACAGTGAACAGTAAATAGTAAGAAAACAAACCAATTGAAAAGCACACAAAACAAAACCAAAATAAAACGAAATGAAGCGATGACACTTTTTGATTAAAAATGGATTATAATTGATTAAAATGGATTATAATTCAATAAAATTTCAGAAAATTTTTTTTGAAACAACAATCGTTTATAATCGATTATAATCTATTATAATGGGTTTTTTTGTTTCGAAAAATAGTAACAATATATCTATTTTTAATCGATTATAATCTCTTTTTTTATGAAACTTGTGGAGACTGACAATAAAAATCCATTATAATCTACTATTTTCTCTTTTTACTGAGTGCGGATTATAATTGATTATCGTTTACACAAGAAAATTTATTAGATTGATTTTAATCTTTTATAATTTATTATCATCGATTATAACACCTCATTTTGTCAAAAAAAGCATTTTTTTAATATCCAAAGGGTAATTTTTTTTTATAAAATAACAAATCTCTAAAAAAGAGATTTCTTGTCTTTTTGAGGTTCATCTGACAACAAAGTTTTTTCACAAAACAAAAGTTTCACACGGATCTCTTCTTACTAGTTTAACGGTTCCAGCGATAGCTGAAAAAAAATCTTCCAAAAAAGTCATGAGCTAAAACAATGTGCCAACATTTTTTGTAATTAGAAGAACTAAAAATGCGCATCAGAAACAACTCGAGAAAAAAATTAAAAAAATAAAAATGGCTCAAACGTGAAAAAACTTTCCATCATTTCATCGCTTGAAAACCCAAAGTTGCAATTTCTTTTTCCGTGACTGTAGCAAGAACATATTCATAAAGTCAGCTGGAATGCCAAAACTAACTGGATTACAAGAAAAAAAATTTAAAATTTTAAAATTATTTTTCCTATCACTACAATTGTTAAAGTTAAATAATTGACTAGAATGATTAAACCATTACTTTTTGCTCCATTGGCGGGTTCAGAAGAGACAGAGGTGCAAACCTACCCACCCCACCCACAAAAATTGTCCAAAAAAGGATCATTTCAGTGCTATGGGAGAGCTCAGAAAATCAATTTGGTCGACGTAAAAAAAGGTTGACAAAATGTTTTGCTCTACCATTAACTTTTGATAATCTCTAATTTTTTGTTTAGATTGTGACGTGACTGACTTCGATGCACTGCAAGCGGACGATTCGATAGCCGCTGTGACCACATCGCAAGAACTCTGCAGCCAATTCGCAACACTGACTGCCCACACCAAGCCGGACATTCCGACCTGCTACATCGTAACTGAGGACAGCGCCACTCTCCAGTTGTATATCGAGCAAAGTGTGAATGATGGAAACAAAGTGGTGTTCATGATAACTAGAAATGACCAGTCAATTCCACTTGTGAACTTGACTGAATATCAGCTACCTTTTGAAGACAACACAGATACAGTCCCAGGTATTTTTTTTGTTCTTTGCTAGGAACAACTAGGATCAGGATTTGCTTATTTCAATTCCCGAATGTTTGAGGTTTTGTTTTTTATTTCCGTTTTTTTTAGTTTGTAGTTTGCCTAACAATCTGCTCCTTAAATCAATTCCTGAAACTTTTTCAGTTTCTGACTTATTAGTGTGGCATTATGAACTTTTTATAAGGTTTCTTAGACACTTGCTTTACAACACCAAATATAATCGACTTTATTTTGGAATTTTATTTTGAGCACTCCTGGACAGGGGTTCGAATCCCTGGTGAGGAAGGAGGCGGACACGCTGAATCTGCTCCCTGACTAAACGCTGCCTTTATTTTTAGCCGTTTTAATTGAAAATTGTATGTGTATCACAATTAAAGTAATTGAAACTATTAAACGATCATTTTTTGATAAACTTTGCATTCAGGTACCGAGTACGTGTATTCGATTCACTCCGTCTACTTTGGCCAGATAGGAGATGTGGGTACTTGCGTGGGGTGCACCAAACCCCTGCCCCCCGTCAATTTTGTGAGCACCCCAATCTCCGACACTTCAATTTCACTCACATGGGACAACTCAGTGGCCATCAGTGGCGTTGACTGTGAGTTCGAAAAGTTATAAACCACTCAACGTCAAAATAAATGCTAAAAATAACGTTTTGTTTGTGTTAAGACCGTTTTTTGAGAAGAATCTGATTTGCGACTTTTTTTAAATTAATTTTGGTGTTATTTGCCGAGGGAACACGGATTTCAAGCATCCTTAACCAAAAACTGAATCCAATTTAAACATTTAGTTTATGAAAATATGCGAAATGAAATGTAGCATTAGCAGTCAAAGAAATGTAGCATTAGCACGCAATTTTGTACAAATGGTATCATTCTTTTTATCCTTGTAAAACAAAGTTATGGAAAAGTGTTCATCATGCAAAACAGTGAAATGCTTCAGTTTTTTGATGTCAATAATATTTTCAGATTATCGATTTTCAAATGTTTTCAATTTCTGAAAAACAATTATTTTATACAATGTTCAGCTTAGTGACATTATTGTTTCTGATTTGTATTAGATCATTTTTTGTTTTTACCTAATTGCAACAGTAATCCCAGAAGGTTGCTATTTGTTAGGTTGAATAATTTCTATCCTAATGCAGTAAAAGATTAAACTGTATTATATTTCCTACACTGTATTGATTGAATCGAATAAATTGAATAGAGTTGGAACATTATGATCTACTTACCAGTTTTTTTAAATTAAGCATTTTGAAAATTTGTTGAAATAATAGTTAACCTGGAGCTTATTTCTGTGCAATGTTTTTTAGACTAATTAAAACTGATTCTAAATATACCAATTTGTTGTTACAGAAAAAACATCCTTAATTGCAAAAATATATTAAAACCTAACTTAGATGCAAAAATAGACATATAATACTAGAAAAATACAGTTTGGGTGAACACAATAGCATTGCAAAAACTTTCAACATGCTTTTCAAATTAATTTCCGGATACAACTATCTTTTGTTACGGTAGAACACGCAATGGAGCAAATGCGCGGAGTGAATTCACTATTCAGGAAATCTACAGAAAAAGCGAAGAGCACTTTAGTGAGAGATACTTTGTTCATAACTTTGTTTGTTGTTCATGAAATCCCCATTTTTTCAATTCAAACAAAAGAATTGTTTTCATCGATCTGCTAGGCACCCTTTTGCTACACTTTTGCTAATACCAGAAAAAAAAACTTTATTCTTCTGATTTTTTCAAGTATTTAAATTTCGTTCTCATAGTTAATCCACAATTCAGCGTTTTTCTTCTAACTTTCTAACGAAAGTAACGGAATATTTGTGCTCGGGGTGGTTTTTTTTTTCAGACAAAGTTCGACTTTTTAACTAGCCATTTGTGACGCAAATTTTCAAAGTCATTCGAAAACTATTGTTTTTCTAAGCTTAAATTCGAACAAATATTTCACGTGTGAACATTTTTCGTAAAGTTATGGGGGTTTAAGGATTGCTATTCTGGACAATTCGGTCCAAATAACGCGCGATATATTTCATGCTATTGACGCGTAAGCGAGATTTAATCCGTCCTAAAAGTTGTTCCAAATTGGTTAAAGGAAGCTTATATAACATAATTGATTTGTTAATAGGAGCAAAATCTATCACTTTGCACTTAATATGACGTATGGGGGGATGTTTTCACGAAAAACCTGATTTTTTTAAAAACTTTTTTATCTTTGTTTTTCTATATTTAAATTTTTCATGTTATTACTGCTCCATACACCCTAAAAGGCAGTCGGAACATTCAGGGATTCCCCCTGATACGAGCAGTCTTGCTCGTTCTATTCATTCAAATGTCTTTTTTTCATGAACTGTTCACTAAAATTGAATTAAAATGAACTATCAGAAGCAAGAACTCTAGGCAGCGCCTTTTCCACCTATTTATTTTTGTTAATTTTTGCCTTTTCCCATTTTTCAAGTTCAATACGAACTTATTATGCAAGGAAGTTATGTGTTTTGCAATCAAGGTAGCAGTTTTTTTTTTCTGAGAAATTCATTGGCTTGCGATGGGTTTGCTATCATTAACAAAGATGCAGGTTAAGTAGTTTTTTGCATATTGAATGTAGGATGCAACTACACTCAAAATCATGTTCCTACAACACAAAATCAATTTCAATAGAACCTATATAGAAATCATAAGTAATAAAAAAAATTCCCCATTTTTGCTTAAACAAGCTAGTTCTTTTTTATGAATCGTCCCGACTAAATGTGTTTTTCCTGGTCATACTTAAGTTTTCAATTTTTAAATGGAATTCAAATAAATTTTAGTATAAATATTTGTTCTGCTGTGATTCCTATTCATGAAAATGGTTTCAGAAATCTATGTTGTATAATTTTCATTTGATTGTCTAAAATAGATGTTCAAAATTTTTTAAAATTTGTTAAGTGAAAATGAGCAAAGTGAAGACATTTATGTAGTTGGTGATAACTTTTCTCCATTTTATTATTATGAAATCTCTCAACATTTGTTCAAAGTTACAATTTAATACGAAAAAAACGGCATATTTGTGCTCGGGGTGGGTTATTTTCTTCAGACAAATTTCGACTTTTTAACTAGCCATTTTTGACGGAATTTTTTAATATCATTCAAAAGGTATTGTTGTCTTGGGCTTAAATTTGAAAAGATATTTAATCTGTGATAATTTTTCGTAAATTTATGAGGGTTTAAAGATTGCCATTTTGGCCATTTTGACCAATTTGGGACAATTAACGCGCGATATAATTCGCGCCGCTATTAACGCGTAAGCGGAAATTTAATCCGTCTTATAAATCATTCCAATTTGGTTGAACGAAGCTTATTTGCCGTAATTGATTTGTTACAAGGAACGAAATCTATCTTTTTGTACTTAATATGGCGTGTGGGGAGATGAATTTCAAAAAAAATGTCAAATTTTAGAGAAAAAAAAATTATCATTTTTTATTTCATTTAATTTTTTTATGTTAATACTGCTGCTCCATAAACCCTAAAGGCAGTCGGAACATTCAGGGCTTCGCCTTGATACGAGTAGTCTTGTTTGCTTTTAACTTCTATGTTCTAATTTCAGTTCATTGATGAAAAAAAGGCAAACTCCACTATTGAACAGCAAAATTGTGATCGACTTTCAATTTCCCAGCATAAACAAAACTTAAACTATTGATCCAAATTTCTCAAACTGAATTATATTCATTAAGAAAATAAATTAAGGCCATACATGTTTCTATTGGAATTCGAAAGTTGAAGCTTTTTGTTTCCGTGCATTCATTGAAACTTTTCCAACTATTTGCTGGCTTTTTTCTCTTTTTCATATATACAGGGGCGGATCTAGGATTTTCTCGAGAGGGGGGGGGGATTTTCAAAAAAAAATCGAAAATTTTTGTCGACCTTTTTTTTCAGGTCGACAGAATTGAATTCTCGAGGTCTTCCAAAGCACTGTTTTGTCCCTGTTTTGGCCAAATTTTCTGCGCCGCAGGCAAAATTTTGAAAAATCAGTACAAAAAAGGCGTTTTTAGGCACTTTTTGGAAAATTTTGACCAAAAAATTGCGTTTTTTCGGCGCGCGCTCCCCCCCCGTTAAAAGTAATATATATTGGCGCCAAAGGCGCCTGTAGAAAAATTTTAGGGTCGGTAGGCCAAAAATGGATTTCTTAAAAAGTAACAAAAGAGGGACCCTTTGGGTCGGCAGGGGGTCGAATCCCTGAGAGGGGGCGTCCGCTCCCGCCTCCCCTAAATCCGCTCCTGCATGTATACAAGTAAATTGATGATCTTAGGAAATATTGGCAAAAAAGTGAAAATACCCAGAAAAAACTTTCTTTGGTTAAATTTCTTAAATAGCATAAATTGAACATGAGTAATCGCGTGCTTCTTTTTGCTTTTACAATTTTTTTTCGATTGGTATAAGTGTGTAGTGATCTGCACTTTTTGCAAAAACGAAATGTCAAAAAACGAAAAACTTTCAAACTGGCATAGGTGCAATCTCACTTTGCGTTGTGTCGCATCGGTAGTGATGGTGCCGGACCGTCATAGGATGGGGGTCCAAATTGTTTATGCGCTGCAAACTGCAACGGCTCTCTTCAAAAGATAGTCGTAGCTTATTTAGCCTCAAATAATTAATCTCAATGATTTAGACCTTTAAGTTGTTAATTTTAAGTTTTTCATAATTTTAAAGTGATTTTTTTTCTAGCTTACGAGGTCTCTCCCGGTCCCAACAGCTGGTCTGCAGCAGATGCGTTGCTGGGCCACAATTTCACAGGACTGGACCCCTCTTCCTGTTATGACCTGTTGGTGAGGGCGAAAGTGGACTGCGACAATGACACTAATGCACCCAACAAGCCAGAGTACTCGGACCCAGTTAGCAACAGAGTCTGCACAAAACCCAGTCCTTGTCTAATCAAAACGGTTCGCTTAAAATCCGTTTTATAAAAATTTCTTTAACCTACAAAATTGCAAATATTAAAAAAAAGAAAATAAGTTTGGTTCTAAATCAATTTAGATATTTAGGAAATAAGAAAAAAACAAGTTTTCGAGTCATTTTACGTGTAAATATTCAATAATTTTGCCCGTTGGGGAAAAAATTTCGAGCTTATATTCGAGATGAAAGTTAAATGCAAAAATTGTCGAAATCTTATGATACGAATACGATTGTTTCAAACAAAGGATGAACCATTTTTGACACAATTCAATCCCAAATTTGTACCAGGAAAAATGAACGAGATATGAGATAGGTTTTAAAAGCGGGCCTAAAAACTAGGCTAATTTTTGTGGATCGTACTCGCAAAATACTCCAGTTCAGAGAATACCTCTTGCTCAAACATATCGCGAATAGAAAAGAAAGCGAATAAATCCAGGCCATTGACACTAATATTGATGATTAAAAAATGAATTTTCAAATATTTTGAAAAGTCGGGTGCTGGGAAAAATGTAAAAATCGAATTTACAAAAAATGAAAAATCAAAAAAACATTTTTTTGTATATTTTCACGAATTGTTCAGAAAAACTTTTCTGGGATGCTGTAAATCTTTTTCTGCTAATAATGACGTCAATTTTGAGCAAAATCTCGCCATTTCAGATCATTAAAAGTTTTGCATCATTCATTTGCTCCATCATGAGAATTCCCCCAACGTTAACAGAAAAAATCTTAAAATTAGAGCCGGTTATCAAACCGAGAGTCGGCTACAGTAGTCGCTGACCAATCAAAATGGTTTGGAAGTTATGCTATAGATTGTTATTCCGACTTTCTTAACGGAAGTAACGGAATATTTGTGCTCGGGTGGGTTTTTTTTCTTCAGACAAATTTCGACTTCTTAACTAGCCATTTTTGACAGAATTTTTTCAAATCATTCAAAAGGTTTTGTTGTCCTGAGCTTAAATTTGAAAAGATATCTCACCTGTGGTCATTTTCATAAAGTTATGGGGGTTTAAAGATTGCCATTTTGGCCAATTTGGGACAATTAACGCTCGATATATTTCGCGCTATTAACGCGTAAGCGAGATTTTATCCGTCTTAGAAATCGTTCCAACTTGGTTGAGTGAAGCTTATTTGCCATAATTGATTTGATACTAGGAGCGAAATCTATCACTTTGTACTTTCTATGGCGTGTGGGGGGATGATTTTCAAAATAATCTCAAACTTTAAATTTTAAAAATTTCATTAGATTTTTTTTTCGTGCTATTTTTTGTTTCATAGATTTAATTGGCAGTCAAAAAATTCAGGGGTTTACCCTGATACAAGCAGTCTTGTTTTATTTTGGGACTTATAGGACCAATTTTTCTTGTTAGAATATATAAATACATCGGTGTAGCGAGTTGCATTCGTGCCGCTTGATATGATCAATTAGAATAATTACTCACATTGATGCAGCGTGCCTCAGTTTGAGCTTAAGTTGTAAATGTGACAAAACAAACTCAATTCTAATTGCTTTAATAGCCGCACGCTTAGCGGCACGCATGCGCAAGTAGACCGGTCCCCTATGAATACACACCTGGTTTTCTTACTAAGACTTGTTTTTAAAATACGTCTTTATGTATTAACACTGTAAGCTGCTTGCAGGTTATTTTGACAGAGTCTGGTAATAGTCAAAATTTGAAAAAATAAAACAAAAGGAATTGGGATCAGTTTAAGATTCCCCTCCATTTATATATCTTCAATCGTTAATATCCTATATCGCAACATTTAATTGTTCCGATTTTAGTAGAAAGTGCAGAATACTTATACTTTGGGGTGTTTTTTAATTATTCAACGTTTGTTTTTTCACCTAGAAATTGGACGGAATTTATTATATATCTGAAAATTTTGTTTTCTTGATCTCAAAATAAAAAAGTATTTAAACTTCAAAAAATATATAAAATTTTTTAAACGTTATGTGGGTTTGAAAATTGCTAACTGGGTCAATTTGGGATAAATGACGCGTCATATATTGCGTTTTTTTTTGCACTGATAAGCGGTAGTTTATAAGGTTTCAAACTGAATTGTGTTTTGATCCTTGTATTTGGTCTATACGTAGTTAACATAAGGTGGTGTGGATCTAAATTGATGGAAAAACGGAAAAATAAGCCTTTTCGTTGTTTTTGATAATTTCGTCAATTTTTCAATCAAAAATTTTTTGAATTCACTTTAAAGTTCAGTTGGAACATTCAGAGCTTCGCCCTGATATACGAGCAGTCTTGTTTTGATTAAATTTGGCTCGCACTGCTCTCATGATTGCTCCAATCTGATAAACCTGAAAAATCATCTTCCAACCAAGTTCTTATCATCCTCCCTAAATAGCTCTGAGAGAACAAGATGTCAGCTTTGTTGGCTTTCAATTTTCTTCTTGGGAGCTTTTTGGGCTCTTTTCCCTCCCCCCTACATCACCTTCAAAATTTTACTAGCAATCTTACTGTTCACTTTGTTCGATTGTTACAAAAACTGTCATCAGACTAATTAGGTCACGACAATCCTACCCGGGTTAATTTGCTTGCTTTACGTTTCGTCTAATTCGAAAAATTGATATGTTTTAACCGTCTCGACCAAATTTTGGCTTGCTTCAACTTTTTCGACCCCACAAAAAAATATCTCTACCTTGTTCGACACAGTTCAAATATGCTTCGACTTTCTCGACCAAAAACGATATGTTTCGACTTTCTCGAACAAAAATACGTATGTTTCGTCTGTCTCAATTTTCTCGACAAACAAAAATTGATTTTTCCCGCTTTATTTTTCCGCTTTATTGTCAGCTGTAGTTGCTCCAAAAAAAATTCAAAATGCTTTTTGGTCTCTCAGTGGAAACACATCTGGTTTAAATTTTCATTTCTAATTTCGAAATATTTTTTTATTCAGCATTTATATTTTCAATATCAATCAAATAGCCCAGATAGGTCTACTGTGTTTCGACTGTGCTCAACCTATGTTTCGATTGTGCTCGACGTATGTTTCGAAACTCTCGATCGAAATTGGGTATGTTTCTACTGTGATCGACCTATTTTTTGGCTGTGCTTGACCTATGTTTCGACTTTTTCGACCAAAATCGGGTATGTTTTGACTTTGTGCTCGACTCAAAATGATTTTCGACCGCAAAATTTGAGTCACAAAAGTGCACTTGCTCGATTTTCAAAGTTGAAACATAAATGGAGCAGCTCGACTGGGGTATTGTTTGGTCGCAGGGGCGGATTTAGGGGGGAAGGGCGCGGGGGGTGGGGGCGGACGCCTTCCCTTCAGGGATTCGAACCCCTGCCAACCCAAAGGGTCCCCCCTTTGGTACTTTTTAAGAAATCAATTTTTGCCTACCGATCCCAAAAATTTTTCTAAAGGCGCCTTCGGCGTCAATATATACTAACTTTGAGGGGAGGCGCGCGCCAAAAATAACGCGATTTTTTGTCAAAATTTTCCAAAAAGTGCCCAAAAACGGCTTTTTTGACCCCTGTTTTTCAAAAAATTGCCTGCGGCGCAGAAAATGTGGCCAAAACAGGGTCTTTTTACTGCTTTGGGAGAGCTCGGAAAATCAATCTGATCGACCTAAAAAAAAAGGTCGTCAAAATTTTCGAAAAATTTTTGAAAATCCGCCCCCCTCCCCCCTCGAGAAAATCCTAGATCCGCCTCTGTTTGGTCGTCATACTTAACCTTGTCAGACCCCTCGTTACACCGTAAAATTGATGATTATGTGAGGTGGGCGGCGGGAACCGTTTTTCAATCATGTTTGTGGTGACAGGTGAACGAGTTAGGCTTGAACATCTTCAACTACTCGACGAAGATGGCCATTTCAATGGAGACTGAAGCAGTGCACTCGTACAGCATTTACAGAGACGGAGAGTCATTCATAGAGGACATACCCAACACTGAGCCATACTATTTGGACGATGAGATACTGGCGGGCAGCGCCCACTGTTACCAGTGTTCTGCCACGCTCCATGGTACCAATAACAAAATAATTTATCCTTAAAATATATAACTTAAAAATATACAATAGAAGTTACACATCGCTAAAGAATACAATCCATTTTGGAGTATTGCAATCTCTTTTCCACGTTTCTACTACACCCCCAATCCCCCCCCCCCCCCTCCCAGTTTCCCAGTTTTATGGTTGTTTTATATGTTAAAATTGCTAAATGAGTGACGATACGACAGAAAGTCTGTTCACTATAGTTAATTTGTTCACCAGGCAAAGTTTCATTGCATTATGACATGGGGGAAGAGGTGTTGCGTGGTGTTGATCCAAATTTTGATGCGACTATATCAAAAAGAGCTTCTATACGACTTCATCGCAATTCAATTTTTACTGTAACTTCCAGGATTTTGCTTGTATTTTAGCTACGGCGTGGTCGTTAGGTATAGCACCTAATAGCCACATACCAAAAATAGTATTAACAACAATCCCCAATTGAAAGTCACTCTTGCACAGAGACCTCTTTTTCACAGTTCTTTCACCACTCTGCACAAAATTTATTTGAATCTGCTAATGTAGTTGTTCCGTCTTTTGTAACGAAAGTAACGGAATGTTTGTATTCGGGGTGGGTTTTTTCTTCAGGCAAATTTTGACTTTTAACTAGCCATTTTTGACGGAGTTTTTTTATATCATTCACAGAAAATTGTTGTCTTGAGGTTAAATTTGAAAAGATATTTCACCTGTGATCATTTTTCATAAAGTTACGGGGGTTTAAAGATTGCCATTTTAGTCAATTTGGGACAATTAACGCGCGATATGTTTCGCGCTAAGGACGCGTAAGCGGGGATTTAATCCGTCTTAGAAATCGTTTTAAAGTGGTTGAAGGAAACTTATTTACCATAATTAATTTGTTACTAGAAGCAAAATCAATCACTCTGTACTCTACATGGCGCGTGGGGGGATGAATTTCAGAGAAAATCTCAAACTTAAAAAGGAAATTAAATTGTTTTTTTAGTTTAGTCAATTTTTGGCATTTGGAACAACAGTTTTTAACAAACAATTTTTTTACCCCATTGAAGATGTCAATTCCCTAAAACCAAATTTACCTTCAAAATATTTTACCTCTGATAATTTTTTACAAAGTTCTGGAAGTTTGAAAGTTACCAATTTGGCTATGCTCTGAACTAAATTATGTGCTCTTTGAAGATTTAATTCAAAAGGCTGAAAGCGTAACGCGAACTATTTATGCGTACCATATTAACCCGCACAATAAAATCGTTCCAAATTGAATTGAGTTTGTTTTAATCCTTTATTAATAGATTGTATTATTTTCTTAACTTGAATTTTCACACTTGCTCTTTGATATTGTCCAAAAATGATAGTTTTTTTTATTTTTTTCCCCAAAAGTTAACCGATATGGATCAAGGGGCACTTGGAACATTCAGGGATTTGCCCTGATATACGAGCAGTCTTGTTTAATTTGAGTAGAATTTACATGCCTAATCGGCTGTGTAATTTCTTCACTCTACCCCAATAACCAATTAAAATAAAAATTTCTGCATATTTGAGCAAACAATTTTTTCAAACTTTATTTCCAATCCAACTGTTTTTGAAAAATTTCACCCAGACCATTAGTATAGCTGTAAAAGCTTATTGTTTATGCACACTTTGTGTGGGTTTAATTTGCGTCTTGAGTGGAACATATGTTATCAAAATCCGTAAAAAAACTAAAACTAGCAAAAACTTTAACAAGACAACCCATATATCGAGTGCAATTTCCTGAATGTTTCGACTGCCGTGTAATAGTCTCAAACAGTTTTGATGAAGAAAAATAAATAAATTTAAATTTTGAACTGTTTGGTTTTCATCCCCAAAAGCCCATAAATCGTAATTTGAGTTGTATGGTAACTTAATGGGGCAATATAGCTTGCCTCAGCTCAAATTTGAACCATTTTTGTTTGCGGGATTTTTTTCCACATAAAAAAGGTAGCTGGTCAATTTACCCCATTCCAAACAACCCTATACCACTCAACCTTATGCCATTCTACCCTATATGACAATTTGGCCTATGCCATTCTACACTATATACTCTATGCCATCTATCCTACGCCAAAAAAGACAATAGCTTTCTACGCTTTCAGCATTACATCATTTACGAAGCCAAACTGTGTATTTTGTGAATTTTCAATTTTATTTTGCTTAAAGACTTGTCTCTGGATTCCAGAGATCTACACAAACCAAATTGTGTGACTATCCAGTGCAAAGTTTGGCCTCATAACGATATGAAGTCTTGAAATTAGTGTATAAACTTTAACTGATTTTAATGTTTCAAGATCTGGTTTTGTGCGTTAGTTATGTACAGACTTTTCGAAGAAGGTGATTTTTTTATTCCTGCAAATTTCGAATTGTTAACTGGCCGTTTTTTATGCGAACTTTTTGATTTTTCTAAAAACTACCAATATCCTGGGCTCAGAATTAAAAAAAAAAACTATTTATACTTGTGATCATTTTTATTCAGATGTGCCAATACGAAAATTTCCAATTCGGGATAATCAACGAACGATATTTTTTGCACTATTTGTGTGAGCGGTTAATTAATCCGCTACTAATTCGTTCAAAATTGAATCGAGACAACATTTTCCGTTTTTTAAAACTAGACACTAATTGCATCACAAGTAAATCATTAATTGTTTCATTTATGAGTTGAGAGGTAAGTGTTCAGCACTTGGTAGTACTATCCGAATATTAGAAATGAAGTTGTCTAACAATTTATAGACCCAAACAACAAATGCATAATTAATTTTTGATGATTTTGGCTAACGAGAGTGTTTATTTGATAATTTGAATAATTTATTTGAATTTCGAATTATTAACTGGCCGTTTTTTATGCGAACTTCTTGATTTTTCTAAAAACTACCAATATCCTGGGCTCAGAATTAAAAAAAAACTATTTATACTTGTGATCATTTTTATTCAGCTGTGCCAATACGAAAATTTCCAATTCGGGATAATCAACAAACGATATTTTTTGCACTATTTGTGTGAGCGGTTAATTAATCAGCTACTAATTCGTTCAAAATTGAATCGAGACAACATTTTCCGTTATGTAAAACTAGACACTAATTGCATCACAAGTAAATCATTAATTGTTTCATTTATGAGTTGAGAGGTAAGTGTTCAGCACTTGGTAGTACTATCCGAATATTAGAAATGAAGTTGTCTAACAATTTATAGACCCAAACAACAAATGCATAATTAATTTTTGATGATTTTGGCTAACGAGAGTGTTTATTTGATAATTTGAATAATTTATTTGAATTTCGAATTATTAACTGGCCGTTTTTTATGCGAACTTCTTGATTTTTCTAAAAACTACCAATATCCTGGGCTCAGAATTAAAAAAAAAACTATTTATACTTGTGATCATTTTTATTCAGCTGTGCCAATACGAAAATTTCCAATTCGGGATAATCAACAAACGATATTTTTTGCACTATTTGTGTGAGCGGTTAATTAATCCGCTACTAATTCGTTCAAAATTGAATCGAGACAACATTTTCCGTTTTTTAAAACTAGACACTAATAGCATCACAAGTAAATCATTAATTGTTTCATTTATGAGTTGAGAGGTAAGTGTTCAGCACTTGGTAGTACTATCCGAATATTAGAAATGAAGTTGTCTAACAATTTATAGACCCAAACAACAAATGCATAATTAATTTTTGATGATTTTGGCTAACGAGAGTGTTTATTTGATAATTTGAATAATTTATTTGAATTTCGAATTATTAACTGGCCGTTTTTTATGCGAACTTCTTGATTTTTCTAAAAACTACCAATATCCTGGGCTCAGAATTAAAAAAAAACTATTTATACTTGTGATCATTTTTATTCAGATGTGCCAATACGAAAATTTCCAATTCGGGATAATCAACAAACGATATTTTTTGCACTATTTGTGTGAGCGGTTAATTAATCCGCTACTAATTCGTTCAAAATTGAATCGAGACAACATTTTCCGTTATTTAAAACTAGACACTAATTGCATCACAAGTAAATCATTAATTGTTTCATTTATGAGTTGAGAGGTAAGTGTTCAGCACTTGGTAGTACTATCCGAATATTAGAAATGAAGTTGTCTAACAATTTATAGACCCAAATAACAAATGCATAATTAATTTTTGATGATTTTGGCTAACGAGAGTGTTTATTTGATAATTTTAGTTATTTAGTTAAATTAATAGTTTTTTTGTTTGTGTTTTCTCTCCCAGACGTCGACGGTGAGCCGGGAACGCCAGTGTGTGGCTGCAGTCGACCGGGCGAGCCCATCCGGGTCGACTTTGTCACTCTCTCTCCCTTCCGAGTGCAGATCACGTGGGCTGCTCCCGGCAACAACGACAACTACAATTGGTTCCACGTCAAGGACTCCAACGAACGAATAGGTAAGTGAGTACGGAATGGCCCTGGGGGATTAATACTTGACGACTAACATACGAGTTATTCAGCGCTTAAATCGAGGAGCCTCATTTAGCACCTAGATAAAACTTTTCGGTTAATTTTTTAGACTCGCACCGAATTTCTTTGGTTAAAAATTGAAAAAAAAAACATTTTTGTGGAATAAAAAGATGTATAAATAATCAAAAATTGTGTCATTCTTAGGACCGTGAAATGGATTGATTGCATGGTTCAATAAAATAAATTACTCCTGTTACAAAGAAAAATCAAGCACTTTTCCTTTCGCCATGCCAGCGAGTTTTCATAAATAACTTTTTTTTTCACTATCTACTGATTGCTTAACTTGCAAACGAAATAGGCCAACTAACAAATGTATTTGGCCGTGATACTTTACTTTGTAAAATCATTCGTTACACATTATTAATAAACATAAACTAAGTTAAAAAAATAGAAAAATCAAGTGAGCTGATACCAAAGATAATTGTTCTGCTTTCTATTAATCTAGGGTTAAGTTAAGCTTTTCGATGTGCTCGGTTCATGTCCAGTTCCTCTAAATTTTAAATCTGATGAGAAATTATCTATTGACTCGTAAACAAAAATTGTGATTTTTAAATGGGAAAAGATAAAAATTTTAACTGACATAACAATCATTCATTTCTTGGTAAAACCAATGATCATAAACGAATGAAAAAAATAGCCAAAAGACAATTGTAAAAAGTCAATGAACGCAAGGAAACAGAAAAAAAACACTGACATATTTTTTAAAATCTCAATTTTCGAAATTTCAAAAAAAAACAGATGACCTTAAATGTCTTAGAATTTCGAGTTTAATTTATGAGAGCACCTTTTAGCCCATTATATTCAGTTTGAGAAAACTTGATCGAGGGATAAATTTTTTAACTTGCTGGTAAATCTGATAATAAAATTTTATTTTCGAAGCTGGAATCAATAACGATTTTCGTGAGACACTTTGGCTGTTCGATAATTTAATTTGCCTTATTTTCACATAGGAAATGAATTTTAAAAAATCAAAAGTCAATATGGAAAAAAATAAATTTGAGTCTGAACAAAATTCAAGTTTTTTGCTAAAGAACAAAAAAAATCAGCGTGATCGATATTAGAGTCTGATCTACGTTCATCGACTCTTAAAAGTCGCATCAAAATTGTGGGAAAACTATTAAAGATATGTTTCCTTTGGTTTGTTTTATAGGTCTCAACACTTATATATGTGTTAATTGGGCAACTGGAGTATGCTGATCGAAGCCCTTTGGTTGCATTTATATTCCATGCTCAATAAGAAACCTGGATTTTCAGTGTAATAAAATTGGTACTCATGGGTCGAGGCACTCAAATTTTACTCATATCTCGCTCATTTTGAATAATTTTGTTTTTTGAATTTTGTCCGGCATAAAAAAACCCTATTTTTTTCATCTTTTAATGAAATTTTGATAACAAAATTGATATTATTATTTATAATTTTTTTTTCAGATTAAGGAATATTTTCAAACAAGAACATTGTTATTACTTTCATTTGATTTTTAATTGTGTTGTCGAGACTATTTTTTTGAACAATGTTCTTCCATCTGATTAGGATTTTGTTTTTAAAAGCAAAAGAACGGTTAATATTTGCATGCAGGTTTCATATATTTTTTTTGATTTCCCGTCATGTGGCATTACGTGAGGTTTTTAAACATTTCGAACAAATGAAAAAATGTTGGTTCTGTTTTTTTGATTGAAAAACTAACGTGCTAGACTTTGCACGATTGAAACTAATTCGACTGTTTCGGCCCAATTTGGCATGTTTTAAATTCCATCAGAAAACAAATGGACTCAACTTTGCTCGACCCAAGCCTAAACTCAAAGCGTTTATATTTCAACTATTAAAATAGAATTATGCTTTTTGCTCTTCTGGTTAAATTCAGGTGCTTTTCACTATACCGAATGTATGAAAAAGGGGAGATTTTTTGTGTTAGGGTGTGTTTAAGATTTTTTCTTTTTTTTCTTTTTTTCTTCACGCAAAATCAGCTACCATAAATAATCATCGGAGAGAGTTGAATGATATATCATATTAAAGCCCTTACATTCGTGTTTGGAACGACAGTTAAATGTTTTGAAATTTTTTTTTACCAGTGTCGAGAAAAACCGGTTTGATATTTTTGTTGTTTTGTCTTAATTCGAGCGAAGAAAGCGACCAAGCAGGCTGTCAATAGCCCAATTTAATGACTTAAGAAGTTACAATTATTTATGGTTTTTTTGTTTGTCTAGTAATTTTTCCAGAAAAAATTGTTTTTTTTTCTGTTTTTCAATTTGCTTATTTTACTATGACTGTCGAATATGCCTAATTTCTAGTTTTTGCTCAGCTCCTTTTATCACCCACGGCAAAAAAAAAAGACACTAACTCAGGGGCGGATCTAGGATTTTCTCGAGGGGGGGCGGATTTTCAAAAAAAATTCGAAAATTTTGACGACCTTTTTTTTAGGTCGATCAGATTGATTTTCCGAGGTCTCCCGAAGCACTGTTTTGCCCCTATTGTGGCAAAATTTTCTGCGCGGCAGGCAAATTTTAAAAAAAACAGTCAAAAAAGCCGTTTTTGGGCACTTTTTGGAAAATTTTGACAAAAAAATCGCGTTTTTTTTGGCGCGCGCTCCCCCTCAAAGTTAGTATATATTGACGCCGAAGGCGCCTCAAGAAAAATTTTATGGTCGGTCGGCCAAAAATGGATTTCTGAAAAAGTATCAAAGGGGGGACCCTTTGGGTCGGCAGGGGGTCGAATCCCTGAGGGGGAGGGCGTCCGCCCCCCCCCCCTAAATCCCCCCCCCCCCTAAATCTGCCCCTGCACTAACTTGAATTTTTTGAAAGTGTGGTTGGAGTATTCTGTGCTATTTGCACAGTAACCGGCTATCCTAGTTAGAATTAATTTTTTAAAATTCATTTGCTAATAATATGCGTTACGCAAGCTTAATATTGTTTGATCTACACGTACATTTTATCATTTTATTAGGATTTTGTTTTACAGTTTGCTTCAAAAATAAGGGTTGAATTTTGCAAGTAATTTTCATACATTTTCGTTTTCTTGCCGTGGGAAGACTGTGCGTAAGGTATTTTACCAACGAACTCGACAGAGATGTGATACGCTCGACTAAATTTGATATGATTTGATGCTGCTCGTGCAAAACTAATTGCTGTGCTCGAATGAAATTCGATATATTGCCACCGAGATTAAGGTAATCGAGCAAAAATTTTTGACATGTTTCGACGGTGCTCGAATTTTTTTTATATGTTTCGACGGTGCTCGAAAAATTGGCTCTTTTCCAGTTCACCCCCTTTCAAAATACCGAGCTTTATGTTTGTTTTACGTGTTGTTACGGCTAAATGCGTGATGTTACGCTGTAGAGTATGAAGAATAAATCTGTTCCGAATTGTCGATTTGTTCACCACGCCAAATTGCATTGCATTGTGATAACGTTAAATAGACTTTTCAAAAGTGAATTTGAAAGGGGGGAACTGGAAAAGGGCCGAAAAATTTTTGATATGTTTCGACGGCGCTCGAAAAATTTTTGATATGTTTCTACGGTGCTCGAGAAATTTTTTGATATGTTTCAACGGTGCTCGAAAAAAGTTTGATATGTTTCGACCGTGCTCAAACAAGTATCGGATGTTTCGAATTTCGTCGAACAATCTTTGAAATGTTTCGACAGTACTCGAACGAAATTTCGATATAGTTTGAACGTGCTCGAACAAGCTTTCATATGTCTCGCTTTCAAAAATTTGGTTATGTTTTGACCGTGCTCGAACAAATATTGATTGGCTGTACTCGAGACATGTTTTCAATTTGAGCTACCCGCACCGGAGTTCCATGGATAATAATCGATTATATTGAATTTTCGTGGTCTGTCTCAATAAATTTCGATAAAAATCGATTATAATTGATTAAAAATGGATTATAATGAAACTATTTTTCTAATCAAAAAAATCCCAATATAATCGATTATAATCGATTATAATCGATTATAACCGATTGTAATCGATTATTTTTTTTAAAAATGAAACTTGTTTTTGAGGCAAAATAATCCATTTTTAATCAATTATAATCGATTATAATTTCAAATTTCTTCTTTTAAATTTTTAGAAAAACTGTTACCAATGTCAGTTGCTTAATTTAGAATAAATTAAGTTTCTTCAATATATTTTCATAAGTTTTTTTGACAAGTTTTTTTTTCAAATTTTCGAAATTTTTTTTTGAAATTGTGCGACCTCGAATTGGCTTATAAAAAACGCAGTTACCTTCAAACATGACAAAATATGAGTACTCCTTCCTAATTTTATATCAATTTATCCTGCCCTGGATTGTACCCAGACCTGGAACGTTTATGTTATACCCAGAACTTTACCCTGGAACGTTAATCAAGAAATTATTACTTGAATTTTTTGGTCGGGGCTGGCAGCTATTATGATAAATGGTTTTCGCAAACACAAAAGACTTGTCAAAATCATGAAATTTGATTTCTACTTTACTGGGGGGGGCTTGAATTATGCATCCTGTAAGACTTTTGAAAAGTCTTTTTTATTTGTTAAAACCATTTACCATTTTTGATGATGAAGATGAACAAATGGGAGAACATGAAGATGAACACATTTAACCTGTTATTCTGATTCGTCTTAAATGTATGCTGATTCTATTTCTTGAGTTATTCTATGCTTTAGCTGCATATTTTAGGAAAACTTAGTTATTTTACATTTTTAAACTTGCTTTTTTCTTCCAGACATAGAAAGATCTAAAAATAGAATAGCCTAATTAACGAAATAAAATGGATTATAATGGATTTTCTTGACAAAATAATCGATTATATTGAAGAAAAAAATGGATTATAATGGATTATAATGGATTTTTATTTTTCAAAAAAATCGATTTTAATGACCACATAATCGATTACGTGGTCTAAATTTGCCACAATAATGGATTATAATGGATTATAACGGATTTTAATGACAACTTTTCAGACAACATTTTCCCAATATAATCGATTATTATCCATGGAACTCCGGTGCGGGTAGTCCGAAACCCGGATCTACTTAAAAATCCCCCCCCCCACCCCACCCTTTAAGAAAGGGGGCAATTGTTGAGTAGATTAAAATAACGCATTTTCGACCAATCCGATTGCAGCAAAATTAAAATTCTCAATACAAAGCTCTCGCGCTAGTTTACTGCTTTTATTCATAGGGTTGGCAAATCTTAAGTAGATACCAAAGGGAGGGCGATTGTTAAGTAGATCCCAAAATCCATGTCTAGTTTATTCTTTTTCAGTCGAGCACTGACCTTGTACTCGACTTGGAAAGTGGAAACATAACGGGAGCACCTGGACTAGGGTTTAAATCATAACACTTTTCTCATGATGTTTGTAGAGGTGGATATTGAGGATGAGTTCTTGGAGTGGCCGGTGCTTCTGGAGCCGAGCACCCCCTACCAGTTCAAAGTAAGAACAGTGCTGAGGTGCAACTACACAGGACAGAATCTGACCTCGGAATGGGTGGCAGTCACCGCATACACTTCCCCAGGCATACCCATCCTCAAACAGGCAAGCTCACTTCACACAATGGGGGTGTGGGGGGGGGGGTTGGTATGGGTTTTTTCGGATACCTTTTCTTAATGATTTCTCCTTTTAAGGTTTTTCGCTTTTAAAACTTTTCCATTCAATGAAAACTCGGGATCAAAGTAATAGTCTCCTCACAGAGACCAAGTTAAGATCTTCCACCCAAGTCTTTTTGTTTATTCCGCCCAAAAATCAAAATTTCAACATCATGAGATAAAACTATCTGGCTTTGATTTGATTGGCTAGAAACAGCCAATCAAACTTCAGCACCAATTCAAAAATTTTTGTTCACAATTTTAAGTCGACTTACAAATAAGCCGAATTGACCAAAAATATTAATTAATTTGAAATTTAATTCAAGTTGGATCAGATAACCTGCAGAGTTTTACCAAGAACAGAAAAAAACACAAAAAATATCAAACATCTGCTCAAAATTCGGCCTTGTTAGAAGTCGGCTTAAATTAAAATGATCATATTTGTATTAACCAAACAAATCATTGCGATCATTGCTTGTTCTCCGTTTTTATAAATTTAGTACGGGGCTATTCTCATGGGTGAAGGAATGAATGGGCGAAGGATCATAGGCGAAGGACTTAAAACAAAAAAACTCAAAGTCAATTATTAAATTAAATCAATTGCCGTTCAACTAAAAGGAATTAAATGAAGCAATTTTTTGTTTCTTTTATGAAAAAACGCTTGAAATATGAAATTTGCTCAGACTCGCCGGCGGTCAGTGACAATTTTGCATAATTCTGCCGTATTCATTTTTGGCCAATATTAATATAAAATCCCTAGAAATGTTTACTTTCTGTGAGATTTTTACGCTTTATTTTCAAACTTTTGAAATATTGAAATCTGATTGGCTGATTTTTATTTTCGCCCATTCGGTCCTTTGACTATGAGGGATTCCAAATTGACAACTACAAAACAGCAAAACTTGTAAATTTGGGCGGAATAAGTAAAAAGACCCTTCCATCCAAGCAGTTAATTTGGATTTAGTTTGCGCCCCGCTATTTGAAACTTACTCGATTTTGATTGGCTAAAAACTCAGAATGTACCACCACGTTAATATCATCTTGACCTCTCTCTTCAACTATTTTAGAGGGTGCGTGTTCATAGGTCCAAAAATTAAAAATCAGTCCCATGGGTCCCAAAATAAAAGAGCTGCGCATAAGCCCCAAATCTTTTCATTTCGTCAAAAGACGAAGTTAGCTGAGTCTCGTTTTACGATCGCCAGTGGACGCGCTACGCGCGCGTCGTCGCTTCGTGGCAATAACTGGCTCTAAATTTCGTATAGAGTCCTACCCTCTGTTGGCAAGCTCGCAACAGGTTGGCGCGGCTGCGGTGGTCACTATTCTGCAGCTTGAGTTTATGCTGCTTGAACAGTAAACAATCAATCCATAAACTCGTTGGCTCAAATTTCAAACAATCAGAATTCAAGAAGATAAATTTTGGGACTTATGCGACTGAGTTTTTTTGGGTGCCATGAATATTGGACCTATGGGTATTCGCCGTTTAAGGGGGATAATGTGAACTTAATACCAAAACTTTTTTGAAAAGCTTTTCGACATTTAAACGCTTTCGGTGATTGTATATCAATAAATGTGTTCTTTCAATAAGTTTCGCCATTTTATATGTTTTTCATATCAGGTGTCAAGCGTGATGAGTCATTTTACCTTTCAGGGGCAGAGCGACAATTAATCGAAATGACAAATGGTCGCTTTACAATCATACAGAGTTAACATCATCCCGTTTTCCATCATTCAAACATAGTAGGAAGCGGACAGTTGGTGTTGCATTTAGGCTAAATTGAATTGTTTTATCACTTCAATTTAACGTAAATGTTGATTACTTATGCTCAATTTTTTTTTCGATGAATTGTCACTTTGAAGTCATTTTTGATCTACTGTTGCTTTCGACTACCTATGAGCTCTGTTCAATTGGTATGATAGAACCGTTATACAAATTCAAAAACGGTCTCGGACCAAGTTAACATCCTCCCCCCAAAACCGTTATGGAGGGGGGGAGGATGTTAACTTGGTTCTAACTTAGAAATTTTTAGCCGATCAGAATCGAGTATTTTACATGTAGCGCTTAGCAAGTTATTTAATGCGAATTCAATGCAGGGGTGGAAGATCTTAACTTGGTCTTTCTGGGGAGAGGGGGATCTTAACTTGATCCACGGTCTCGAGTAACAATTTGAAGCAGCCTTCGAATCTCTCTTTGAACTGTTTTAATTTTTTGAAGTAAAAGATTAAAATTACGAACCTAAAAATACACGCTACGGCGAGATGAACATAAGTGGTCGGAAAATAATCTTGAACACGTGAACTAATAACTTTTTCTTTCATAGGTGGGATGGGGCACTGACTTCATTGCTCTGGACGTGGAAAACAGCCGCCAGTATGACTCGATCAGGTTCGAACTCATGTTATGGTCAAACCGAATAAAAAACTCTTTTCGAATTAATCGGTTTGAAAAGCAATCTGTGTTTTGGGTCTGGTTGGCGTATATCTTCAATTGTTTAAAACTGACGGCACTTGCTTAGATTTATGTTCTCATTACAAAACTCGTTCAGAGTTTCAGTCAAAAAAACAATTTCAGTAAAAACATATAAAATTAAACTCAATCGGAAGGGTTTATTAAAAGCATGTGCTGAGCTTTTCCGAAATGTTGCCCTCACAAAAAAACGTCGATATCCCCATTGAGCATGCTAGCTAACATGAAAATTTGTTTTGAGATTATGGCGAGTTTGTGGGGCGACAAAATCTTAAGTTTTTGAAATTCGGAAACTTGTATTTTTTTAACCAAATTTTAGCCCGTGAGTTGATTTTTTTGACCATGTCGTTTTTTTTCTAAAATCCGTAAGCAGAATACCTGAACATCTTCCAGGATTTTCCTTTTGCTTTCAGCCACTTGGAGTTTATTTTAAGCCATAAGGATTAATCAATTTTTGTTGGCAAACAAGAACAAGGATAGCCGGTTGCTGTGAAAGTAGCACAGAATGTTCCGACCCAATTTAAATGGTCCGACCATATTGAATTGAAACTATTTAATTAGGCTTGATCGATAACATTTATATTGAAATGAAACTATCGAATTAGGCTTGATCGACAACATTTGTCTTCAAAAACTGAATATCAAACAAACACAAATTTTCTTTTCTAATTTTTGCCCAGTGTTTTAAAAAAGTTTTGCCAACTTTTTTTTGGCAGTTAAGCGCTAAAACCATCAAAAAGTAGTCTACTTTATGGTAAAAAAATAGTTTTTTAAGCCTAAATTTCTAAAAAAAAAAAGTAAGTGTCCATAAAGCAAGCGTTACTCAATCGCGTTACTCGCTCGAAAAAAGACTTAATCTCAAGAATTTTAAAGCTGATTTTCTCGTTACGGAAAAGTTTTTGAAAATTTGTTTAAATATGACTGAAAGGGCGTTGATATGACATATCACTCTACAAATTTCAATGAGTTTTTGCGGTGCTTGATTTTGCCTGAAAAAAAAACGAATCCAAAAATTCTGCCCTTTTTCAATGGTTGGAACTTAAGGACAGACATATCAATTGGGCCCGTAGTAAACTCATAGTAGCATTAGCAATGTTATAACTCTTAGCTTACCTCTTTTAAAACATGTCTGTTGTTTTCTGGCCTGTCTAATTATACACTCCTACAGTACTGATTTAAATAAACCGAACAAAACGCGTTAATCTTGAATTTTAAAACTCCTTTTTCTCAAATTGGGTTGAGTTTAGGTGAAAACTTATGAACACAAAACTTGCTTAAAATTTTAACAGAATTAATATGGTTTAATTTGTTTTGCAAAATTCGGGCCCAAAATTTTACCCCAAAAGTGAGACCCTTACGTAGCCCAACAAACTTTTTGAAGGGTATATTCTCCAAAACATTGTATAAATTAATTTATTTTTGTTTGATAGACAAAAAAGGTCGTTTTTACTATATGAAATACCCACTTTTGATTTAAAAACAATTTTTAAACGGTTTGCAACTTTTTTTGGAGAATATACCCTTCACAAAGTTTGTTGGGCTACGTAAGGATATAATTACGTTTGATATAATTATGTCTGTGATCGACTTGTTGTTTTCGGCGTAATTTTTGATTAATGATTAATTAAGAAAAGCCAAAATGAACCATTTTTGGGGTAAAATTTTGGGCCCGAATTTTGAAAAGCAAATTAAACCATATTAATTCTGTTAAAATTTTAAGCAAGTTTTGTCTTCATAAATTTCACCTAAACTCAACTCAATTTGAGAAAATTGCGTTTTAAATTTCAAGTTTAACGCGTTTTGTCCGGTTAATTTAAATCAGCACTGTATCTACTTTGGACTTGCATGTGCGTCTTGATTCTGTTTTGTTTTTTCTAAATCGCGTATAATGTGGATGTTGCTGGAATTGCCTCTCTTTTTTCGTCAACTCCTTGAAATATCAGAGTTTCAAACTAAGTCAATTAAAAAATGAGGTCCGTTTTCTCCGAAAGCTGACAAGATACACTCAAAAATATTTCTTTTGAGAACGTTTATTTTAAAAAACATCTTTATTATTTTTTTTCTATTTTTTTCAATGATTTCAAAACTTTAATGCAAATTGATTCAGTGATAGACATTTTCAATAAAACGATTTTAAAATACTTGGATATACGCTAATCAAACTGAACGCAAGTTTTTTGGTGAAACTCAACTCATTAGAGTTTCGAAAGTGCTGACTGAATTTTTGTGCTCCGCGAGTTTTTTCCCCCGAGTCGAGTTTCGACCCTATTTTTGCTGATTAATAATAATGAACATAGTGAGTACTTTTATACAGGTCTTGCTAATTGCTTATGCATTTTTTCCAGGAAAGAGTCATAAAATTTGCTCATACGCAATTTTGATTTTTCGCAGGTTGATTTTTGATTTTCTTTTAAACTCACTTCAATTCTTTTGTAAAAAAAAAAATTCCTTATCAAACAGCAAAAGGGTAAAATAATGGAAAACGTGATCGACTTCCAATATCAAAATTGGAATTTAGTCATCAAATTTTCCAACGAATTAAAATTTTTACCTATTGATCCAGTTTTTTCAGATTGGGTTAAATTTATTTTAAAAAAAAGTGTCCATCTTAGAGTGTTCGTGAACTTCAAAAAGTTTAGGGGCTAAATTTTTTCTTGAAAAATCGAAAAATGAATTTTTTTAAACAACAAATCAATTTTTTTTTCTGTTTGCTTGAGTTCATTACTCTGCCAGTTGCTGTCAGTTGGCTATGTTTTTGATTTTCTACACCATTCCAAAAATTGAAGCTCTGGTTGCAAAACTAGCCAGATTGCTGTACCAGGACAAATTTATGGTTTTTTGACTGCCCTTTAATTTGGTCAAAATCCTTTTGGCAAAAGAAAAATCGATAAATCTACAGATTTGGAAATTTTGCTTTTATTTTTTTAAACTTCTGCAAGAAAATGGACCTTGAAAGAAACTAAAGGGACCAGTTTGCCTTTTTTTCTAATTTGGGTGTATTTTAATTTTAAAGAACGATGTGACTTTAACTTATGTCGGTATTGATGGTTTTTTGATTGTTTTTTGCTCAAGGGCAAGTTTTAAATTGCTCTCATACTTACACTACTGCACTCATGGTTGATAATTCGATCAATTTTTTATTGCATCAAATTAACCATATATTGTTCGTAAAACTCAATGAAGGTTAACCTGATGTTTTTTGTCTACTTTTAATGTTGAAAAACACTCAAATTTTTGCAATCGTTTTTTTTTCGGATATTCTTGTTCTTTTTCTCATTTCAAAACTTCTTTTGACTATGTTTTTGAGTGCTTATCTTCCCGGCATATACAGAGTTTTTAATCCGATATAAAATTGATTTTAAAAATAGCCACCTTGAATAGTCCAAATAGGTAGCCCATTTGTTTTTTTTTCAAATGCGCAAAAGATTACCAAAAAGAAATATTACAATTCCATCGGTGTACAAAACTTCTTTGAAAACTGATATATTTTCTAATCGAAATCGTTTGGATCAAAAATCTACTCACACTTGCTTATTCGTTTTCTTATTCTGCTTTCCTCAGAAATTAGAGCATTTCATTATTTCACAGTAAAAATTTTCACCTGTGGTATGAAATATACTACGATTTAAGCCGGCTCAAAATTCAGTCCAAAACGGTTTCAGGCAAATCAGTAAGCTTTTTTGTAGATGCTTC